GAGCAGTATGAAGTAATTTATCACAATAGTGATAAATGTGATCTAACATGTATTATAAAATGGATAGTTCTGGTCCTCAAATCTGATTGGCTGAGCTGCGTTCGAAGCCACACTATATGCACACCTATGACTGTCTCACAACAACTGAATTGTATTAACACACTTGTGCTGTTAATAGAATAATCTTTGATTCTCATGCTGCTCGCATGGACCACTGAGTATAGTGATGAAGTAAGAACCTGTTTACTGTTCTTAATTAGAACAAGGCTGGTCAGCTAGCTAACAGCCTAAAAATAGCCAACAGCCTAAACAACTCCATCATTAAATGACTATTTCTTAGCTGTGTTTCACACTGTTGGGCTTCAGGATCCAGTATTTAAATTCCTACGTGTGTGTGTATGTATATATATATATATATATATATATATATATATATATATACACGGGGATGGTTGTTTTCGTGTCGTGCTGAAGAAGACCCTTCCCATGATAAAACCACAGTAACACGCAGCCTCTTGTGGCTTATTGCTCGATCGCCCACCTTTACCTGGTTCAGCTAAATAAGGAGCCCTTCCTGAGTTAAAGTGATTGTGCTGGAACTCTCAGGCCTGGCTCATGAAGAATGTTCAAGTCATACAGCTCATAACTAAGTTTCAGCTTCATAATACAAATGTAACTGTTATTTACTCGTTTTAGGACTGCAGTCTTCTCTAACCCACGATTAGAGAAGTACAAAATATACTAAAAGATTGGGATTGGTCAGAAGCTCAGCCCTGAATGCTCCAAGAGCTCTTCATGAGCCACAGTCCTAAACTGATGCCATCTAGGCATCCCCAGGGCAGGGATAAGTTGGTGGGGTGATGTAGCTCGCTTAAGCGATCCACTGTCACAAGACAGAAAATCCAAAGTTAGATGGAACTTAGCCTGAAGTTAGCTGGCCAAGCCAGGTCCTGGAGTTGAGTTTTCACTGTTCTAACAGACTTACTTCTCAGGAAGTGCCTGTTAATTAAGCTGATTAGTTGAATCAGGTGTGTTGGAGCAGTTGTGCTAATATGCTAATTGTTCTTTTTTCTTCTCTTTTTCTTCTTTTTCTCTCTTTCCTTCTCTCTGTGTGGTAAAGCTAGCATTACAATATGTAACAGAGAGAAATCTCTCTTGCATCTCTCTCTCTCTCTCTCTCTCTCTCTCTCTCTCTCTCTCTCTTTCTTTCTTTCTCTCTCTCTCTCTCTCTCCCTCTCTCATGTTTATTAATGCGTGACTTTTGTACCCAGCTGTAAAGTGTTCTGTAGTGTCTCGTGCCAGTAAAGCTCTTTACTGTGAACACACACACAATACACATCTAAATATGGTCATCTCATCACAGATCTACTGTAAATACTCTGCTAATTTTAGCACCCCCATTTGCTGAGTTTTTAGCCCTCACTTCTCAATATTTACATCGTTTGACAGATTTCTGTTGGATTTTTTTTCTGTGTTTTTGATGGAAAATGATAATTTGCAGTTTCACATTTGCATCCCCTAATTACGTCGTCATCTTTGTGCAACACATCTGTCAACATTAATCCCTTTTCATAATGTGTCGGAGTTTTCATGCTGATCGAGTGCGTCATCTCGTTTATTTCATGTTGATAAATGTACTCTTGCACCCTTCCAACCTTTCTGACCAGACTGGGTTCTGGTTTCAGCCTGTAGATATAAATATCCTTTCTTGTGCGCTGACCAAAACGGTTGACGTCAGCGTAGCTGTCACTGATTTCAAACACGCATTAATAGACATGCAGACTGGTCACGACTGTCATTACCACTGGCTTGTTAGATTCACTTCACAAAGAAGCGTCACAATTACAACTTCCTCTCTGACAAAGGTGCACGTTTTGGATAATTGGCTCTCAAAGTTTTAGTTTGGTTTTTTATAGAGAATATTTTCATCAGAAAATGGTTATGTGGCTTAAAGGGCTCATATCACGGAAAACTGATTTATTATTGTTATTTCTTTCCCCACTTTTTGTAAATAAACATGTTAGATGTAGTATGTAAACACTGTTAAAGTTTAAAAACAGTAAGTGTCAAAGTCCATATATGGAAACTAACCTGCCAAAACAGCCTGTTTTGGATTCACTGTTTTTATGATGTCACACAAGTATCATATTTATAAGTGTTTCTATCCAGACCACTTTCTAAAGGCACGATACATGGCACCAATCAGAACAGAGCTCATTTGCATGTACAAATCTTAAATTCACATTAAAACTTAAAAACAACAGCCTGTTTAACAGAGGTTGAGAAATGCTCATGTTAAAATGAGTTATGTTTTTGGTGCATAAAACCACACCAACCTTATAAGTAGGTCTTGGAGAAAATACAAAATGCAAGAATGATGTAGGATATGAGCCTTTAAAAAAACCTCTTAGATGTGAGACCCATAGATTACGTTTATCTCAGTATCTGTCAGTAGTTGAGTTCTTCTAAGGTCTCATTAGTGGCATTCAGAGGCCCGGTGCCATTTTCATGCCCACTCACTTGAGAGAGGGAAAGAGAGAGCGTGAGTGAACCCACACATTCGCTGACTTGCTCTCCCCAAGGCTTTGACGCAAACACGCTCGGACTAACGCTAACCCATTTCTATAAAAGTGCTTCATGAGAACTTGCGCACTCAATGCCAGGAGAAAATGCACTCTCACCATTGCCCGCGTCCACACACACACTGTGACTCATGCTTATCTGGCTCGCGCACACGCATGCGCCCCTGCAACAATTATCTGGAAGGGCTGCACTGCGCAGCTATGGGACTCATGCAGCATCGCACTCCGGTGACCTCGAAGCGAACTGATGGCGTGTCAGACAAGCACAGGTGAGGTGAGGGCACCTTGGCTCTCCCTCATGTGCATTCCTGCTGTTGTGGTTTCTGCAGAGCTATTTGGGAACAGTGCGGTAGAAGGGAAAGAATGGAGCGGAATCTGGATGGTTCTGGGGAATTTGCCCTGAAAGAAATGGAGAAGTGCTCTCATTGCCCGTTTGTTGTTTTTGGGACACACCTCTGCAGTTATGTTTTTCTGAAGCGGCTGAAAAAGCCTCATACCTTACCTGTTACTAATAACAGTGGTGCATGATCTGTCGATGGGTGGCATAAATAAAATGGAAAATATTTTGGAAAATTATTGTTAGCGGCCTCATATTTGAGTTACAGCCGATAATTTCATTTAACCATCGATTTTTAGCTTCCACCCTCAGTGAGGCACATGTAGTCTCTAGTGAGCATTGCTTTTCTTTTACATATCATCTAAATGGAGCGTAGCAGATAACACCACCTCCCACCACACAGAAGACTGGAGAGTCCTGTCCAGGCAGGGACGCCACTGCTATACTAATAAGAGTACTTTGTAGAATGGGTGGGCTATATGATGATATGTTATCATTATTGTGATAAGTTGTCACAATATTCAGTACAGAGTTATTAAATGCCTTCACGTGTCACAATATTAAAATATTTGCCGTATTGCCCACCCCTGCCTGATAGTATTTGTGTGTGATTAGAGCTGTGGTACAGCATTAAACCTTTAACAAGTGCAGTGTGCTTAGTTAGTAATAACTAAATTCATTCCTTCTATGTAAATCGTAATGAATAACATTTGTTTTTCTCAAATTAGTCATTTACTTTTTAGGCACACAGAGAATAATGCACAGTTTTACTTTTACAACCACAACAATGAAACATATTAGCTGTTAAAATTTTCATGTGCTTATGTATTGAATATGCACTGAAAATCAGGAAAACCGAGAAAACAGGCCAAAATGAGTGTGAAAGCCACCGAAATCAAGCTAAAAATACACAATAGCAGCAAGAACAAAATAAAAAAAATTGATGTAGAATGTGAATGTGTAGTTAGTTACAATCCTGTGTATTTGTACATTTATATTTATATATATATATATATATATATATATATATATATATATATATATATATATATATATATATATATATATATATATGTGTGTGTGTGTGTGTGTGTGTGTGTGTGTGTGTGTGTGTGTGTGTGTGTGTGTGTGTATATATATATATATATATATATATATATATATATATATGCGTGTGTATGTATGTGTGTGTTATGGCAAAAATGAATGTCATTGGTTACAGATAATATTGAATGCATTTAAATGTACTAATTTTGAAAATATATAAATGAAATAAAAAGGCTAATTAATATTAAACACTGATCTTTTTAAAAAACTACATTTTTTTTTCCTTCCAAGATCCAAAAATCAGGCCAGAATTTTTAAGTTTAACTGTGTAACTTATGCTGGATTTGAAGGCTCTCAAACGACCTGCGGTGCTATAACTTTAACTTGTACCAATAACATTGAAGTGGATGCAAGTGCTGTTGCTGCCTGTAAGGATGTTGATGCTGAAAAACATTATTTTTTTTTTTAAATATTGTTACTGCTTTAAAAGTCTGATCTTCATGTAGTTTCCTTGTAAACCTGTATCCAGTCTTGAACCATCACAGATGACCGTCTGACTGTTCTCTGAACATAAGCTCAGACCAAGTGGCTGAACTATGTTGCTGTCTTTCTACACTGTTACCAGCTGAGTCAGAGAACAAAAAAGCTGCTGCTAAATTTAGTCTGAAACATACAGCGCTCCCCTGTGGCCCGGCTGCGGAGATGCAGCATTGCTCTACATTTGACGCCCACGTTCTGAAAGACGCTGAAACCAGTTTCATACCATCTCTGATGTTAATGCATTCCTAGAACAAGTGTAAGTGAAGATAGATGATGGAGCATTATGCTTTCTTTCATGGGCAAAATGGTGAAGCTGGTTTATATGCCACCATTCTTTATAAGGACAATGAAATAAAGCTTTGAAAAATGGATGTCACAAAGCTGTACTCTTAGGTCAAAACTGGCTTTGATCGACCAGTGGATTTGGCTGGTTGTGAGGGGTCATTTTAGTAAGTAAGGAAATTTAATGTCATTTGTGTTTGCTTGTTTTTCAGGGATGACAGTAGTATCTTTGATGGGTTGATGGAAGAAGATGAGAAGGACAAAGCAAAACGGTGAGATGGACAAGCAGAAAGATAGTCACACCAAACATCAAGAGGAAAATCTCTTCTATTAGGTGCCCAAATGGTGGTTTAGGAATGACTCATTAGCAATTAGAGGATTGTGCAGTGATGCTGTTTTTGCTTTCAGTATGACTGAGAAGGTTTTATAGCAGGAAAAAAAAGCTTTGAACTTGGAGAGTATTTGGAGCTTTTTTTTTAAAGAGGGAAAAAACAACACATTTTCCAGTAAATCAACAGCTTAGAGTGGGTATTAATCTATTAGTTAGAATTCTGGCTTTATGGTGTTGTAATTCTCTTGCATTCTCACAGTGAATCATTGTGTCTGTGTGGTGGAGTCTGATTACATGAGTGTGTGTTTGTCTTGCGCCCACTCTACAGAGTTTCCAGGAACAAGTCGGAGAAGAAGAGGCGAGACCAGTTCAATGTGCTCATCAAGGAGCTGGGCACCATGTTGCCGGGCAACACCCGCAAGATGGACAAGTCCACCATCCTGCAGAAGAGCATCGACTTCCTGCGCAAGCACAAAGGTATCAACCGCTTCTGCCATCTCTATTTCAGCCAATCTCTGACAGCGAAATGTCTAATAATCTCTCTCCCCATCACAGCGTATCACAATCAACTGTCACAGTTCATCACTATGTATCACAAGTTAATCATAGTCTCTCTTTACCAAATTACACGTTCTGATGCTGGTAGTGATTTTCATGCTGTAAAGCCAGTTTTGTGTGCATGTTTTGTTCTATCTGAGTTTTGAGGACAGTGTGTTAATCCTGGATCAGTAGAGTAGGAATTCAGTTACAGTACTTCAGCAGTGATGCTGACTGAACTCCTGTAGCCTTTACATCTAGCTAGGGCTGCAACATGTATTCAGTAATATTTGCTAAATTTGACAATGAAAATTTTGGAAAATGGAAAAACCATTTCCAACAAGTTTACTTCTTTTTTGAACTCGTTCTGTGGCAAACGAACACTTGTTTATCGAGCTAAGTACAAGCTAAGATTGTCACCAGCAGCACACAGTTGCCAGCTCTGCACGCAGGACTCATTGGACATTACGATAAGGCAGAGCTTGTGAGATTCTCACAGAAAGCTCCGGGTCCAAATAAGCCTTCTACTGCTCTGGATTTCTAGCTAGCTAGCATGTTCTCTGCTTCATTTGTTACTGAGAATAAATGAGGGTGTGTTGGCTATTTAGCTCCACATAGCTTTTGGAAAATTATTCAGAGGCACTCTTTATCACCCCCTTCACTGACAAGAGTTTCCTAAAAAGTTATTTAATTTGTAAACCGATGGTTTTATGGTGTGTTTTCTCCGTTTTCCTGCTTAATGCTGTTCGGTCAGCATCCTGCTCCGGGTTGCCAGTTTTAGCAGGATCCCTGGTTTAACATTATTTTAAAAGTAATTATTTATCAGAGATGTTTTTCTATTATCCTGTAGTATTTCAGTTTTAGGTTTATTCAAAATAATAATAATAATAATAATAATAATAAGAAGAAGAAGAAGAAGAAGAAGAAGAAGAAAAATAGTAGTAGTAATAACACTGAGAATAAAACATTTTAACCTTTTTTCAATCAGTTTCATTAAAGTTAAGCATCTTGAGCTTGTCTTATTCTTACAGAATATAGGAGTTTTCCACATCAAGGCTTTGTCATTTCAGCTACATACAAGTACACAGTAACACAAAACAACATTCCTCCAGGACCAACACAGGAATAAACAATACAATATACACAGTGCCGACAATACAGTACAATAAATATAAAAGACTTAGAATAAATACAAAACAGAACACAGGCAGTACACAGTACTGAGAGCGTGTGGAGTTGTGCAAAGGAGGATGTACCATACTATGACTGACATGTTAGCAGATTAGCAGAACAGCAATGGACTACAGTGTTTGGTTGATACAGTAATTCTATAAGCTAACATAGTTAAGGTAAAGTTCATTGTGCAAAAATGTCAGGTATTGTTGAGGAAATAAAATGTGCAAAATGCAAGTAGTCAGATCTACAAGTTATATTAGATTAAGTATTTTGGTGAAATGCAGTAATTATATTTAAATACAGTGTGTCCAGACATAATCTGGAACTGCAAAAAGTGGGGAGTGTGTTAGTTGTATATTGTTACGTGTACATGTATGTGTGCGTGTCCGTGTGGGTGTCCTTCAGTGAATGTACTTACTGATGGGGTGCGTGAATTTGACTTTTAAAAGAAGAGGTTGGACCACAGTTTGCCTGACATGTAGTCTTCTTTAGGGAGATGTAGCAGACTAATGTCTTGTTTTCACTTCTGTGATTAGTCATTCATGTTATTCAGAGCTACATGTTGTAAGTCTTTCAGTTGAGTCTTTCTCTGCTGGCTTTAAAGCAACATTGTGCAATTGACCGTAGACCTTTGAGTTTGTCCATTGTCTCATCTGCTAAACATTTTCAGACAAGATTTTATGAGCCTACATTGCTAATGTTTATAAGCCCTCATCGTTCATGATATTTGTCTGAAAAAGGTTAAGGCACAGAATAAAACGTCTGTATTCTAGCTAATGGTATATTGTTTTTGTTTAGTGTTATCAGTTATTGATATTCTAGCTAATACTAAAGCTTTTAGGCACTGGAAGACACTGTGCGTAAAGGATTGTGTTACCTTTTCATATAAATCAAATGAAATATTGGCTTCTGTAATTTGTTTTTATTTAAAATATAAACTGAATATTTATTTTGAATGAATATATATGATTCTTTTAGGACTTGCATTTGATTGATTCCGTAGTCTGTTGAGTAACGATTATTCTTTTTGGAGCGGTTGTAATAAAAAATGAAATACATTAAAATCAAAGGCGAATTGAATATTTTTTTTTTTGCTATTAAATCATTACAACTGTAATGTCTGAGTTATTGTCAGTCATGTTTGTTGTGCAATAACATTTTTCTCTCTGTTTCTCAGAAATCGCTGCGCAGTCAGAGTCGAGCGAGATCCGTCAGGACTGGAAGCCTCCGTTCCTCAGCAATGAGGAGTTTACCCAGCTGATGCTGGAGGTGAGAGAACATACTTGAGGTCACCTTTCTCACACACACTCATGCAGTGTTCAACAAAGATTTATCTGTCTGTCTGTCTGTCTGTCTGTCTATCTATCTTTCTTTAAAGGTCATGTTAGGAGCAAAATAGTCCTGAGTTCTTATTTTAATGGCTTTTAATGTGTTTTGCTCTTTGACCTCAGGCGCTAGATGGCTTCTTTCTGGCCATCATGACAGACGGCAACATAATCTACGTTTCAGAGAGTGTCACTTCCTTATTAGAGCATTTACCAGTAAGTAGTGTGTGTATGTGTGTGTATGTGTGAGTGAGAGAGAGAGAGAGGGAGAGAAAATAATGATGCTAAAAGATGTGAGTTTGTGTTTCAGTCTGATCTGGTGGACCAGAACCTGTTGAATTTCCTCCCACTGGGGGAGCACTCTGAAGTGTACAAAGCCCTCTCAACACACATACTGGAGGGAGAGACCCTCACACCAGACTACCTAAAGAGTAAGACATGCACACACATCATTCATATCATTATATACAATCAGCTACTCTCAGCACTCTACCCTCTCCTCCTTTTGATTAGGTGTGTGAGATTGTGGGCAGTGTAGCATCATCAGTTGTGCCCCCTAGCCATCTCCACTTGACCATACTATCAATAGGGGATGGCAGGCACAAAAAAGTCACTGCTTTTCCAAAAAAAACCAAAAAAACAAAAAGATGATCTGGGCGTGTTTGAGTTGATATGAAAAAGAATTCAAATATTGCCTGAGAGGCTGCTATTAAAAGACTGGGAACCCATATAGATCACTCTAAATCGTATGTGACTGTAAACAAAGATACTCTTCATTGCATTTCTCTGACAAACTTTGGCAACAATAAGTACAGATGTAAGATGCCACTATAAAAAGAAGTTATATACAGAGTTAAGTTTTATCTTTCCAAATACTTGCTAGCGAGAAAGAGTATAACAGCTGTACTTTGTACTGTGTTTGAGGCTATAGCTAACAGGAGCAAACTCAATTTCAGCCACATTTGTTAGTTCACAAATGTATTTTAAGTCTAAAACTGTTACACATTTAAGTAGTTTGAACACTAATGACTGATAAGATGATCTGCTAAACCTTTATGACTAAAAAGGTTATCTGATAAAGTCTAAACTCAAACAGGCAGACATAAGTTATTTGATAGGCTAAAAGGCTGCAGTACTTGATAGACTACACTGGGAGCACCTGTGTCTATCGCGTTGAGGCACATATCATATATCATTTGTAACATACAATCCGGGTAGAAATATGAACCAGTTATAGTGATAGAAAGTTTTGAAACTGTTTTATGAGTTCATTGACCAGGTTTTTTGCGGAGTGCAGTGAGGAGAGTGAGAGGTTTTTCTTCGAAATGGAAAATGATTAAAAAACTTTTAGACAGACATATCAAAATGTAGCTTAGGCTGTCAGCTTCACACAGTAACAAGTAAAAATTGGTGATTGGACGACTAGGAGTTTGCAGTTTGTCATCATTTTTTTCATAATATAAATGGGCTGACTGAAGAGGGCTAACAGGTATGACTGAGGTGAACAAAATGCTGTATCATGCTGCTTTGATATGTTCTAAAGGCACACAACATAAGTGTTTATATGACTTGGACCATACAATAAAAGAAAACAGATTACGCATGCGCTTTCATTTAGTGCATCTTACAGCCGCAGACGGCCTGTTTAATTTGGCTAATAACAGAATTGATAGCCATTGTGAGTGTGTTGTGTCTATCACAACAATCAGTGAGTCCTAATACTATCATTAATCACCTAAAACCTGCTTCTGATTCTTTCCTCCATTCTCTCTGGAGCAGGCAGTTTAGGTTTTTATATATGCAGTACTGTGCAGACTTATTGGCTTATAAGTAATTTGTTTAAAACCATTTATCTCAGCAGAAAGTGTGTTTTTGCCATTAAAAATTCTATATAGAATAAATACAAATAAACACACATAGTCAAAAGTAACAATGTCTTATCGAAGCCCCCAATCATTGTATATATTTGTTTAATTCCGTCACCAGTTCCCATTTAATTTAGTGAAAGATTGATTAGCTAAACCAGAATGATAACTGGGGCTTGTTATGAGGAGAGGTTTGAAAATACTTAAACAAGCACATACATAAAATCACTACCTACTGCGTTAATGCTATTTGTATTTATTCTAATATTAGTGTTTTTCTGAGCAAATAAACAGTTACTGCACAGCTAATGGCTTTTTAAATCAGATTTTCTCAGGTGGCTGCACAGTACTGTATATAGTTAGCAGTGAATTCGTGTTGTGCGCACTCGCACTTTGGATTTTGCTTGAGAAATGAAACAATGACTATGACGCTTCATGTTCCTTTAATTCCTATATACTTACCCCAGCACATATAAATTCTCTTGAATGAAAGTTGAACACCTTTTTTCTTCTTACGCCAAATCAGGTAGTAGTGTTTCTACTTTGTCTTGTCTGTTTGATTTTCAGAGTTTCCTGTGAATTAGCTTGTTTTTTGTAGCTTTAAGGTAGCCGTAAAACTTCTTTGTCTTTTTAATGTCTTCTTGTTGTTTTTCCTGCCTCTCTAGCAAAAAATCAGTTAGAGTTCTGCTGCCACATGCTCCGAGGCACCATCGACCCAAAAGAGCCTCCTGTCTACGAGTACGTCAAGTTCATTGGAAACTTCAAGTCCCTCAACACTGGTAAGAGTGAGAGCTGCTGCCTGTGGCTATAATGCTGAGTCATGCTTCTCACACTGCTCCTTTTTAGCCTCATCTTTGTTTTTCCTTCTGGTGCTGAACTCTGTGGCCTGGTCACTGAGAAGACAGTGAAAGGTGTTTAAGGAAAGTGTAGTGAGCTCAGCTAGTCCAAGTGTTATTCCACATTGAGGACATTTTGCTGAAGGCAGAAGGTTTTGCAGGTCAAAGTGAATGCAGCGCTTTTGTAGCAGACCCTGGCTCCTCTTCAGGTGTTTGCTTGTTGTCTCTGGCTAAAAGTACAAACAGGCCAAGAGCCTGAGCCTCAGTTCTTGATGCTCCCCGATACCTTTACTAATGCAGACAGTGGTGTGATGACTGGACAAATGGTCTGGAATTGGGTTTTTCACTGTGTGTGAAAAACACAACTCCAGACCTGCTTCACTGTTAATCTTATGTTTAGTGCTGCCATCTAGTGATTTGCTTGAACCTCTCCTGTTTAGACTCCTTCTTTTTTTTAGGTCTTAATTTGATGCTTTGTTTTCCTGCAGTGCCTAACTCAACACGGAATGGCTTTGAGGGTGTTATCCAGCGCTCTCTCAGACCCTCGTTTGAAGACCGCGTGTGTTTCATAGCAACTGTGAGGTTAGCCAAGCCTCAGTTTATCAAGGTAGGCTGATCCAGCACTTGCGGCCTGGCTTCTCATTGGTTCTGTGACCTTGTTTTTCTGTTTCACTTATGAAAACAGCAGTCAGGAAGAGAGTGATATGGGAGAGTTGGGGGTATGGGGGGAACGGCAGAGTATGCATTGTGAACACTTGTATGAAAATCGATAGACGTAATGGTGTCACAAAGGATAGCAGTTTTCCTCATCTTTGTCATTAAGACACATTTTTATTAATAATTATTTTATTTTATTAAATTTTTATTATATTTTATATTAGTATGCTTAATTTCTAAAGGAGACATAGTACCCAAATGCACACATGCGCATACACATCTATCTATCTATCTACCTATCTATCTACCTATCTATCTATCTGTCGATCTGTCTATATCCTATATATGTCTATATATCGCTGTTGCCGGAAGAAAACGTAGTATCTCCATTTTTGCCCCTTTTCAGTTTTTGACATAATTTGAAAATGCCTATTGGCCTTTACATTGTATGTAAATTTCATGATGAATGGACCAAAAACAAACGGCCCAAAATGACTTGGAAAAAATGTCTGCTTCCATTGACTTACATTAAAAGTAAGGCATATTTTTCTTTTCCAGTAAAGGTACAGTTTTGGAAATACAAGGTTTTCTTCCGACAACAGCGATATGCATATCATAATTGCACCATATTTTGTTATCAGTGGAGTAAACTGACCAACTGGGCATATAGCTAACAGGCGTTTTACTGAAAAAAGCAAGTGGCATGTTGCTTGAATATCTGTTACAAGCATTTAAAGTCCATGTTTAACTTAAAGAAAAGTGCCACCACCACTAGCGTGGTGCTAACATAACATTTCACATCCCAATAAGATGTTAATGTGAATTAGCATTTTCTAAACAGTGGAAATCAGGTAGCAAACAAAGGCTTTTAAAGTAAACGTTTCTGTATTACAAATCAGGAGACAAAGAGGAAAATATAGTGTATCTCCTTATACTTAACTGTTTTGTAGATGAATGTATTTGTGTGAACTGTATTATGTTGTATTGTAAAGTGTCCTAGATAGATATAAAATTTTCATAATTTCTGCTCTGTAGGAGATGTGCACTGTGGAGGAACCCAATGAGGAGTTCACATCCAGACACAGCTTAGAGTGGAAATTCCTCTTCCTGGACCACAGGTTGGTGTGAGGGGGTTGGGGTATAAGTATGTGTGAAAGTTGGTGGCTGAATGCTGAGTGTGTAATAACTGAAATATTCTGATATTCTCATCATGTGTCTGACGAGTGAAGGAAGCTGCCTCTGTGGAGGAGCTGATGATAATAACCAGCATAATGTTGGCTGCTGATAGAGCTTGTCTACTTCTACATGAGGTCTTCTCAGTGGATGATGTGCCAACATGTTACTCTGTCAGCAAATTGTTCACTGTTTCTAGATCTGGCTAACATCAACTAGAGTAGACAGCCTAGTTAGTGAAAAAGCCGCGGCACAGCTGGCTATGCTGTTTCTCAGTCACGTCACCAAGAATGCACTATGATATGAATGATAGAGCGCTCACATTCAGGCAATCCTGTTTTGTAGTAACAAAGTTTTACAGTCATGGTAAAATAATTTTCCTGAACTGTTAGCCTGCTTGTTTTCTCTTTCTTCCTGTGAAGAAACATGACAAATATCTGAATAGTGATTTCAGTATTCAAACACTGGCACGTCAAAAAGTTCACAGTACTCAGGTACCTTCGCAGATCCCTGTTTGTGTGTATATAAGTGTAGGAACAAGAAAAGAGTTTGGGCTAATATTAATGCCTTTATTACACTGATATTAATGTTTTTATTAAACAGAAGTGTTCATTTAAAAGTGTTTATTATTCAGAAATAGCCAAAGTCAATCCTTTGGTGACTCTGGGTTAACAGTGTCTAATGAGGCCTAAGTAGGCTGCCCATTCAGATGAAGCGTTAAAGGTTGATGAAATGTTGATTTTACACCTCTATTTTTTCATCTGCTATTTTGCAGGTAGCATCTAATGTTAAACTAATGCCATCTAGAGTAGTTAGGTTGGTTACAGCTACCTCGGCCTTCTCAAAAACTACACCGGTGCCCCTGGCAGTGACCTTATATTGAGTATAATGTACTTAAGCGCAAATATAAGAAAAAATGTCACATTTTACAGCCCTGCTTAAATGCAAGTGTTTCACTGAATTGTTAACTGATATATTTCCTCACTGACTTTCTGTGATGTGCTGTAATGAATACTGGCGTCTGGAAGCGTTAGCAGAATACTCGAGTACCCGTGTACATTTCTAGTCTCTATACCTCCCGTCCACCGAATGGTAAAGCGTGCTTTTCCTGTCCCTCTGGTGCCTGTTTATTTCCATCCCCCTTCTGATCTCTCCTGTTGTGTGTTAGTGAAACCCCTCAGGGGTGGGGCATTAAGTTCCTTGGCCTGTAACAGTCCTATCAATCTCCCTTTGAGGCTGTTCTCCGTTCAGTTCGTTTGGCTGGCTGCTTAGACGTGTGAGTCAGCCCTCCCATGAGAGAGAGCCCTAGGAAGAGTGAGCTCTCTCACAGCCCTTGGCAAGGCTCCTATTAGAATACTCAGCCAAAGCTGAACTTATACACGGATTCTAATGAGCATAAAGGCCTTGGGGGCTATTTATAACTCTGGGATTCCCTTTGTGCTGCATTCAAATCCTTACATGCCTTTTTCCCCTCAGAGATTTTCCCACTGATTCCAGGCAGAACAGCAAGAGGAAAAAACTAATAACCTATATCGGAGATTAATGTAGAGCACAGCTGTCAGTTTAAGAAGATAATAGGCTTTTCCATGCTTGACTTTCTATTCTCAGTATGATTATTAAAAAATGTTTGTGGCAAGAAAAAATAAGTGCATAATGCTTATACGGGTCTTCACTGTGATTTGCTTTATTAACACCATTGGGATTTTATACCAGCAAAACTTTCACATTCAACATGGAACCAATTAATAGGCAAGACAGCTGCATTTCATTTATATAGTACATTTAGTGAGAATGGCGTCTTTGGATAGAACAGTACATCAGAAGACATGTGAAACAAATGTATATTTATATGCAGAATGTTGAAAACACAGTAGATGAAATAAAATCAACGTAAAAAGGTTAAAAGAAGAATTTAATCATTTTACATCATCTTAGGGAAAGCCTTTTTAACAAACCTTTTTAACAATCAATTTTAACACTTTTTGTGTCTGGTTTATTTGGACATTTGTAGATGTATTTTAAGGGTTTAGAGGTATGGATAGAAATGTGTAATTGATAACTTGCACATCAAACATGTTTTTGGGCGTAAAAATGCAACATTTTATTTTACTTCTGATTTTTGTGAACTTTCATAAGTGACAATCACTCGACCAATCACTGTTGTTTCATCTGTTGCCATGGTGACAACCAAGCTGGCAGATTGGCTGTGTCACAGTAACTATAGCTTTTTGACAAGCATCAAAGGATTAATTTACTCTTTGCTTTGTGAAATACGGTGCTGTATCTCCAAATATATGTCAAACTGAATTATGGACAAACCAGCTGTGTGTGAAAGCACTCAGCTTGTAGATGAGGGGGTGAAATTCTTTCTGTTCCTTTTGCTTTGCTAAAATCAAAAGCGTACTTGAGATCGTTATTTTCTTGTTTTGTAATGAGCATCTTTTTGTCACTTTTTGTTTGTTTGTATTTTTTCGTCTGTTTGTTTGACTCCTCAAACAAAATAGCAAAAGTCAGATAAAAAACTTTTATTTATAAAAAATATCGCTGCTGTCGGAAGAAAACCTGGTATCTCTGTTTTTGACGTTTTTCAGTTTTTGACATAATTTGAAAATGCTTGCTGTCCTTTATGTTGTGTGTAAATTTCATGAAGCATGGATCAAAAGAAGTGACCCAAAATGACTTGGAAAAAAGTCTGGTTCCATTGACTTACAAAAGTAAAGTAGGTATTTTCCTTCTCCTGTAAAGTTACCATTTTGGAGAGAGAAAGTTTTCTTCCGACAACAGTGACATGTTCATGTCTTATTTATTTTTTCTTTATTTTTTATTCTGCGTTTCTTTTTCTTATTTTTGTTTGTTACTCAGTATCATTATTATTAATTGTTTGTTTTTTTTTGTTGACATTTATACTACTTTAATAACTAATTCAAACAAAGGCTTTTAAATGTTTACATTTTTTGTCCTTCTCAGGGCTCCACCTATCATAGGTTACCTGCCTTTTGAGGTTCTCGGCACGTCAGGCTATGACTACTATCACGTAGATGACCTGGAGACTCTAGCCAAGTGCCATGAACACTGTGAGTTACTCATGTTACTGTAGCATGATTTACCCAATGCAAAGTAAAGTGTTTTTGTGTGATTTTGAAGTGTTTTCACACTGTATGCCTGTTCAGGAGGAATTTGAACACATTTATTTGTAAAGCCAAATCTAATCGGTCATCCCTGATGACAATCTATGTTGGTGCAGTGATGCAGTACGGAAAAGGCAAATCATGCTATTATCGGTTCCTGACGAAAGGCCAGCAGTGGATCTGGCTCCAGACACACTACTACATCACCTACCACCAGTGGAACTCACGGCCTGAGTTTATTGTCTGCACACACACCGTGGTCAGGTGAGAGTTTTACACACATAAGCAGTGGTCAGGATCAGGTGGGGCAAAATATGTAAGCAAAAAGAGATTTTATTCTGTAACTGTGTTAATGCTGTGTTTGTGTTCTCTCTTACTGTAGCTATGCTGAGGTGAGGGCTGAGCAGCGCAGAGAGCTCGGCATCGAGGAGTCTCCTCCTGAGATCACTGCAGACAAGGTGTGGGGTTTATATACGCTTTCAGGACAACAGTATCCTGTCTTTGTTGGAAAAACAGGGCTAACCTGCTATTTGAAGACCAAACAAATGATCCTGACTTGAGTGCAGATACATAGAAGTGTGTTGAATGAAGTGGCTGATCAGTGTATATTATGCATAGGTCAAAACTGATGAACCCAGGTCCAGACATGCTACAAAAACAAACCTGTGTGTTTAAAAACTGTAACACACCTGTAATTTTAGTACTACACTTAATCTACCATCAGTCTCATTTACCTCTCTGTCTCTATTTCAGTCTCAGGATTCTGGCTCAGAGTTGAACACTTCCAGCCTGAAGGAGGCGCTGGAGCGCTTCGATCACAGCCGCACGCCCTCTGCCTCCTCCCGAAGCTCTCGCAAATCCTCTTCGCACACCGCCGTGTCTGACCCCACCTGTACGTATTAGCACAGTTCCACGTGCTGCATTACACATTTTGAAGACTGGTGGGCGATAAAATGTTAACGAAAATTATTAGAATCGTTTTTTTCCCCATTATACCTGTTAATGATCCTTTTTTTTTTCTTTTGATGATACTTGTTAATGATTATGACGTTCAGTCAGTACACTAAGTGGCAATATGTGTGCCTTAAACCCACTAAACAAGGAAGAAGTTGTCTAGCCACTCACTTATTGTACCCTATTATTTTTATTACTCACAAATCAGTCTGGCAATTAGGAGAGACAGCTTGCAAGCTGTTTCCACTGTTGAAATTAAGATGAGTAAAAAAAAGCAGGGAGTTTGAGGGGAAACTTCTCAGGATGAGGAAATCATGGCAAAAAAGGTCACTTTTCCTCTTAAGTCTGGAATTGGGTTGAACAGTCAGCAAAAGGAATCGTCTTTTTGTTTTCTTCTGGGTTTGTAACTGAGCATTAGGATATGCCTTGGAAATAATCGATAAACAATGGTTTGTAAATATATATACATACTTTGCAGACTCGAGCTGATTCATGATAGTATCAGGAATCACAGATGGATTCTGGTCATCGCGATTGCTGATCAAATAGGACAATTTAAATGTCATAAATCATGCCATTTCATAGCTTTTAGATGCACTAAAGTAATCATATGTATTTTTAACCGTGGTTATGCTTGTTAAGCAGATAAAGGCAGCCACAGCCTTCCATGCAGAGAACACCTTTCCTAGAGAAACATGAACCAGGGTTTATACAATTGTGACATCGTAGTGTTGTAGTTTTATTACACGTTAATAAAAACAAAAAGCACAAAGCCTTTTTTTAATATATAGTCTAATAGTAATAAAAATACAGAAACACTAAACTGTACAGTGGAGAGGGCGCCTCAGAAATGGAACTGTATAGCTGTTATGTAGATTTGTTCACTGTTGATGCAAAAGGAGTTTGTGCTTTGTAATTATTCTGATCGAGTACACTGTGTTTGTGTAGCCACCCAGACGAAGCTACAGACAGAACGCAGCACGCCGCCCCGCCAGTCCGTCTCCACCATCGAGATGACCTCCCAGCGACGGCCCTCTATCAGCAGCCAGGTTAGTGTGTGTGTGTGTGTGTGTGTGTGTGTGTGTTTACTGAAGCTCTGTATTTGGACATGAACTAAAGTGCAATCTTGGAAATATATGATAGACATTTGACATTATATAATCAAATTCGTAGCCGTAGACATGAGAACTAACTTGTTTGTCTAGCAGATACAGACTTTCTAGATCCAGACTCCCTTTTTAGTCCGTTGATTTATTAATCTATTTGTTCTTAAGGGAAAATTTGGAAATAAAGTGTAGTGTATGTGGTTGTGTATCTGAACGTTTATATTTGTCTGTGCCTCTCCAGTCAATGAGCTCCCAGAACACAAGCCAGACGATGGCAACGTGTCTAGTATCTCAGCCCCAGCAACCCCAGCAGCTGCAGCCCACTGTGCAGGTAACATACACACACTAAAAGCTGTGCTTCACACAGCAGGCTGGCCTGCTCCAAATAGATGTGTTTTTAAAGGGGCACTGACCAAAATGTAACCATCGCTACTTTGCAGTGAGTTTTATTATATAATTACATATATAATTATCATTATATATGTATATGCATGTATGTAGTGGAGAGAAATGAATACTTACTGAAATAGCAGAAATGACTTGTCAGATGTGGAGGACAACAACCTAAAACCTATCTAGAAACTTCATCTCTGTCAGTCTGGCTTCTTTTCTCTGGCTGAAAGGGGAAAAAACTTGTCCCTGGTGTCCATGTTGTGCCAAATAAAGACAGAATCACTGTTTTCTTTATGATTTTGTTCATGACTGAGGTAAGAGTTATACTAATTCTAGCTTGGTTGTATTTATTAGCCTTTAGATCAGTGGCTAGGCTTGCAGTCAGGACTGGTAGACATCATAGGGATTCATAATGGTTGTATCATGTATTTCCATAGTGCAAGTTGGGTATTACAATAAGAAAATGCCAATGGAAGAAAACATAAAAAAGACATAACATGATTAATTCTGTCAAACCAATGAGGAGGAATATAATGCTGCTCTGCAGAATACTGCAACATGCAACACTTAGCATATTAAACCCCTGTGTTAAGCCAAAATGTCCCTTTAGGTCTCTCTTTCACCTGTCTGGATTATAGATTTTGTAGGGATGACATGAAGATTCATGAAACAAACAGTTTAGCAAAACTTCCAATCTTTTTGCATGTGAGCTGATTAATGCATAATTATCATCAATTAGGGCTGGGCGATAAAACGATAACGATAAGTATCACGATATAACTTTTCCTCGATAGAGCGATAAGACAGGTTCGATAAATGTTCGATATGCACCACTCTCACACTTCCATGTTTTAGCGAAAGCCCTGGTGGCGCTTTCTACTGCAAGGAAAGCGACACTACTCTGCTGTCACCAGGAGATGGCGCACTTCCGAATTTTTCGACTTGATTAGAGAGGGAGGGGGCCACGAGTAAAAAAGGGGTCGCCAAATATACTTTAGCAACGGCTGAAACGCGGAGTTGTACAGTCCCTGTTTGAGTGGATGTTATCGGCGATCTGTTCTCCTGTGACCGAGTGTGAGTGACGAGGTCAGTGGTGTAACTGTACTGTCCTACGGTGAACTCACCTCTTTCCGTGCATCCTAACAACTTTAGCGGTGTTAAATTACGTCTGCAGCGCCGTGTTACAGTGCCAAACCGTCATATTTTAGTATTAGTGCATTCTCGAGCAGCGAAAGAGAAAGAAAGAAGTGGTTCACGTTCTAAAGTAAACTGAGGAAGCTGTGAGGCATTGGAGAGCGGGAGAGCGCTGTCTTTCCAGGCTAGCTGTTTTTAGCTGCTGGCTAACTTGAAGCAGCGCTCCGGCACAACACAGTGAACTGATGATACGGTAGATCAAACAAGACACAAAATCACCGCTTTCGGTTTAAACATGCCTAAAAGGAGGACTCTGTGACTGGTGTGAGAGATTCACACTGCAGATAATGCTTTTACACAGCAAACGTCAGATATACTGCAGTTCACCCCTTAAACTACTATGATAGCATAGAGAAACCCAGTCGTCTAGCTGGTGTCTGAATACTGTGATCTGCTCTGACATGGATGTGGTCGGAGTGACAGCAGTGACCTACAGAACCGAGTTGACGTTGTTGAGAAACTAAAGAGTTTAGCACTGTTGTTGGCCACTTGTTTAGCATTTGTGACGGGATAGCCGAGCGCTCGACACCAGACAGCTAAAATAATCTGTTTTCTTTCTTAAATCATGACAATTACAAAAATTGCAGCGGTGCTTTTCAAGCTGATAAAAACAGCTCACATCATTATAGCACCCCCAACTTGTGCTAATCCTAACATAAACTCATAATGATGATCTTAAGCAGTGATCTGAGGATGCTGATCTTGCTCCACTAATTCTGAGACTTCACATTTTTAGAAAAACATCCTTATGGAACTGAAACTGGTGTTTTGAGGTCCAAATTACTTGTAGGAGTATTTCAAAACAAAGATTAGACAAAAGATAAGACAGTAACTAGATTTTTCTAGAACTGCTGTTGGAACACATCAGGATATCCCTTAGTTGTATTTTGGCCGCTCAGAACTCGCTACTTAAACGGCTTGTTTTTTCTGGTTCTCTTTAATATTCTCGTTTGGTTTGGATCAAACGACTTGTGTTGCTTTTCTGTCTCCTGAGTGCTTCCTGTTGACAGGACCGTGGCCATAATTTCCTCTTGGCCTGGTGATGAACTTTTAAGTCGTGGTTCTCAACACTAACCCTTTGTAAGCCGTTCTTGAAGTGTGTGCTCTCTATATGACTAACAGTCAAATGATCCTGGTATTTCTTGGGGAGTTCCTCTTTAAGTAAACCAGTGTTGCGTGTCATGTGCTGTTGATGTGACCAACAGCATGCTTGACCTTTTTTTTTATTTATTTATTTTTTTTCCCGCAGCCCGTGCTGCAGTTCTCCACGCAGCTGGATGCCATGCAGCATCTGAAGGAGCAGCTGGAGCAGCGCACACGCATGATTGAGGCCAACATCCAAAGGCAGCAGGAGGAGCTGCGGCAGATCCAGGAAGAGCTTCAGAGGGTGCAGGGCCAGGGCTTGCAGGTGAGCGCCCCCTGCTGCCCGCAGGAGAGAATTAACTTGTATAAACTGAAAATTGGTCTGCATGTTGAGTAATTTGCACAGCATTTGAAGAGTTAATCCTTTCCTAGAATGTTTTCCTAGACTTCTAAGAATGGATTCAGTTGTGATTAAGCATGCCGAAACGCGCCATGGCCTCAGGAATGCACCTTCCTTTGTCTCTGAGAGTCTGAATTTAATTGGGGCTATTTTGAATGATGATCTTGTTCAACCTGTTTGTCTTGAAACTGCTGATGTGTTTTTAACATATGTGTGGGTTTTTTTTTTTTTACTGGATAGTAATATCAGTTTTGTGCGTGTGTATAGATGTTTCTGCAGCCTGGTGGTGGTAGTCTTAACCTGGGCTCGGTGCAGTTGACGCAAGGTACCTCCGTGCAGCCAGGGACCGCTCTGACCATGCAGGGTCAGGTGGTGCCAACAGGCAGCTTACAGGGTGGCCTGGCATCCACACACACAGGCACACAGCACACAGTCACTCAGCAGACCCAGCAAGCTCCTCCTCAACAGCAGAACCTCCTCCGAGACCAGAACTCCACCCTCACGCAGGTGAGGTCCACATACACACATTTGTCTTTGATTTGAATGAATCTCATTACATTAAAACTTAATGTTCTTGCCTTCTCCTGTCGAGTTACCAGTTTGTAGGTACGTGGTTTTGTTAGGACACTGATAATATTAAACATCTAACTTATACATTCATAGGCCATTTAATCAGGGTCTCCTACAGTATAGGTGCTTTTTATAGATTTACGGTAACTGACTGCAGCCCATGTGTTTCTGCAGTTTATCAGCCGCCCTCTACTTCGTCAATGAATAAAAAGAGACCACCATAGGACCGCCACTGAACAGATTTTTTTTTGAGTGGCGAACCATTCTCTATACAGCATTAATACCAACATGGTGCCACATTAGTGGATGTTGCGCTGGTATGCGGTATTCATGCACAACAGTGTTACTGAGGGGTTTTAAACACTGCATGTCCTGAACATTTTATTAGAGAAACCCACCTTTTTAATACAGTTTCTGGATGTACAGTGAGACACTACATCTATTCTAAGTCAGAATCTTTGTGAAAACTGCATAAGTGGGTTTTACGAAGAAATTTCTCTTTAAGACCGTTTGGTGAATGAGGCCCAATGATGATATGAGTATACCACCTTGTCTCAGAGAAATAAAATGCATTTTTTAATGAAAAAACATTCTTTTCAAACCTCTTCTTATTACAAATGGATATACAGCATTCTGGAATGAAACCCTTCAAATAAAGATGATTTTAGGTTTCAAATAGTTTTTAATATTACAACTTTTCTTTATAATGTTATAACACAGTATACAGTTTTATAAAGTTACACTATATTTAGTAACTTCTAGAATTTCTAGAACAAATTTTCATGTTTCATCATCAGTGCGCTGTGCATTTGTATGTAGCTGATGGTGAAAGTGCAGGTAGAGCGAGACCCATTGAGCCAGTGGAGAAAACAAGTACTGCTCAACCGTAGTGGCTAATGCAGTACCTGCGGAGGGGCACCTAAACAGCCTAATAATCATCATAAACTTGCACAGATGCACGTGAAATTTTACTTGCGCATGCATGAAAAAAATGGTCACAGTCTAGAACCCTGCAGTATAGAAACCTTATAAAATGGCCATTGAGTGAAGTCCCCTTTTGCTTTTTTTCATTTATGTTTACTGCTTGGAATTGAAGTAAGATTTTTTTTTTTTCTGCAACTCATCAGCGTTCTGTAATGTCAAATCACTTATTCCAGCCTGTGTGTGTTTCTTAAAATCTGTCTCCAGTCCCAGAGATCTTCTCATAGATTGCAGTCTCCTTCGGCAGCTCTGCCTGCTTCTCTCTATAACACCATGATGATCTCCCAGCCGGGACAGGCCAACGTGGTGCAGATCTCAACTAGTCTGGCCCAGAACAGCCCCAGTGGAGCAGCTGTCGCGACCTTTTCTCAGGACCGCCAGATACGGTACTGTTTAACTTACTCCCACACTTAGCTACACCTCCACTGTAGACAGCCACACGTTCCAGTGCTTGTGCATCGCTGTAACAAATACCTGTCAGGTGCTCACTGCCACATATGTCCATGCACTTAAAGTTAAGTTCTTCACCCCAAAATCTTAGCATGGCTAACAGTGAATGAAAGCTAGTAGCCATTTAGCATGATCTCATTTTCACAACTATGCAACAGCAGTACACCTGCCTCCTCCAAGCCTTCATTAATGATTAGTTACATTACTGAAATAGCACACAGAGTCAGGGTAGACATAGCCTGTTGCACAACCCTAGACATGACTTTTCATCTTTTGGCTACTACATGTGACCACTTGGATTGGAGAATGTTTCCATTCCGTCTGGTTGTATTGACTTACATTAGAAGTGAACTAGGGTTTTTCCTTCTCCTGTAATGTTGTCATTTTGGAGATACAAGGTTTTCTTCTGACAACAACATGTTAAATTAGCTGATGCTAAGCAGAGAGGCTGTCACTGCAGTAGCTAAACAGTAGCTAATGAAATAACTAGATTGACTGATGTCAGGGGGACCACCATGGTTACCATAGTGGCAGTTTAGTAATGTAGTTTTTAGTTAATATTTCTTTTTGCAAAGCAACATTCTTTAGTTCTGAAGTATGCTTGTTAATTGTAAATACAACGTATATACGATTAAAATGTTTGTTACTACAGCCACAGATTCTTGATTATTGGCCACAAGATTCATTGGCTTAGTGGCCTAAGTGACCAGTGCACACTTTAGTATCTGTTTACCCCTTCACACAATGTAGTCTCTGATGCTTACCTTCCTCCCCCCCTCCCAGATTCCCAGCAGCCCCTCAGCTCCTCACCAAGCTGGTGACTGGGCCGATGGCATGTGGAGCAGTCATGGTGCCCACCACCATGTTCATGGGCCAGGTGGTAACAGCATTCGCCCCGCAGCAGGGCCAGGCCCAGACCATCAGCATCGCCCAGCAGCCGCCCGCTACCTCTCAGGAGCAGCAGGCCCAGTCGCAGGCAGCCGCTGCTCAGCAGCAGAGCCAAGCCCAGGCCCAACTTGCCCAGCAGCAGACGCAGTTCCTCCAGGTGACCGAATGGGGCACTGCAGCCCTGTTTAGAATTAATGTTGGCCTAATGCTGATTAAGCTTAGCAGATTAATCCAGAAAGTGACACTTGCTGACCATGAAACACAACTACACATTAGCAGTGAATCACTGGAAATGGACATTGTTCAGATTGCTTCATCACTTAGTGGTGCGGGTGGTTTTCCTAAAGATCCTGGAGTAGACACGGAGTGTGGTCATTTAGTTTTTACAGTTTTGGAGGAATTCACGCATTCTTTTTTAAAACATTGGAAAGCTTTAGATTGTAAAAACTAAAATCCAGCAGTGTTATTTCATGCAGACAAATATGCAGGGGACTTGTAATGCTCTTTAAACAGTTTACTGAACATGTTTTTTAGAATAGATTATACCTAGAAAAGACGTATCCAAAACACCGGGGCTGTCCCAAAGATTTCAAAGAAAAATCAAATATTTAGGTTGTACCATTAGCCATGTTTACATGCATCCTAATAATCTGTTAATAATCCGACTAATTGCTCAATCGGAATAGAAGGCATCCATGTAGAATAAACTAGTCCGATTGAGGCCATTCGGAATAGTTTCTATCTGATTGAGCAAGGTGGGTAATCCTGTAAACACCTCTATCTTAAAACACCAAGATTATAAAATATTAGTAAATTATTTTTTAAAAAAAAGTTTAGGACACTATAGTAAATGGGAGTGCGTGATTTAACGGGATCTCTATGGATACTTGATGTTTTGACAAAAAAAAGGGTGTGGAAACCTGTGGTTTGATAGATATATAAGGCTCATGTAGCGCAGCTGGTGTGGACTAAAACATTGATATAAATGTAAGCGTATTTGTTCTGTCAGACAGATATCTAAGGCTACGTTCACACAGCAGGTAAAAGAGGCCCAAATCTGATTTTCTCACCAAATCAGATTTATTTTGTTTGGCTGTTCACATTATCTTTTAAATGTGATCTGTATGCAACATCAATCTCAACAGATCAGCTCCTAAACTGACCCTCATGCACTAAAGAACGTTGCTTCACGTTGCTTCACGTTGCTTCACGTTGCTTCACGTTGCTTCATGTTGCTTCACGTTGCTTCACGTTCCTTGACGTTGCTTCACGTTGCTTCACGTTGCTTCACGTTGCTTCACGTTGCTTCACGTGGCTCTGGCTGTTCAGACTCTGTCGCAATGCCGCAGATCGGATACAGATCAGATTTTAGTACCACATATGAAAGCGTCTCAAATTGGAATTGAAAATGTCAGATTCAGTTCACACTGACACACAGATACACATCTGTGTCACATATGAAGAAAAAGATCGGATTTGGGCCACTTTTACCTGCTGTGTGAACAAAGCTTAAAAGAGCTTCAAAATGATTGTCTTTAACTGTGATTTTGTTTTAAAATACCAACAAGGATTCAAAGCCTGTAAAATGCTGTTTGGGCCAGCTCTACCAAAACAAACAAGCTAAACTCTCTAACTCTACCCCACCCCAACCCCCAACAATACGTACAGTCCCTTGAGTCGCTGGGAATTCAAATGAGAGCCTTCTTCATTGGACGACCTGCTTTTTATTTAGCTCTGTCTCCACAGTATAGTTGCAGTAGCTATATAGGTTGGGTAGATATGCCTTCAAAAATATCTGGCTTTTGAACATACAGTATAAATCCTGGCTGGCCATAAAAGTTCTCTGATTAAAAAGCTTATGAACCCTAAATATCTGTACTCCATTCTTCTTAGGCCCCTCGTCTTCTCCATGGCAACCAGTCAGCCCAGCTGATACTCCAGGCAGCGTTTCCCTTACAGCAGCAGGGAACCTTTGCCACCACAACACAACAGCAGCAGCAACAGCAGCAACAGGTGCAGCAACAGCAGCTCCAACAGCAGCAGCAGCTCCAACAGCAACATCAGCAACAACAGCAGCAGCTTCAGCAACATCAGCAGCAGCAGCAGCAACTGGCGTCTCACAGGCCAGACAGCATGTCAGACCGCTCCAACGCGCCGCCTCAGTAACCCGGGAATGGCCAATCAGTCGGCAAGGACCGAGTCTAATCTCCATTGCGAGGGGTGACGAGGGGAAGAGGTCAGCGTCGGAGCACCATGGAAGAATAGCAGTATTCGAATCATACCTGTTAATATGGTGAAGGGCAAGACCTAGAAAGGGTGCCGTTTTCACCCTGTGCCCTTCCTGCCTTTCCTCTCTGATCTCTGGCTGCTTGCACTGAATTCTGGGAAGCGTAGTCCTTACATGCTGAGCCATTTGAAGTGGCTCGCAAGAGAGCAGCACCCGCTCTTTCAGTCACCCGGTCAAGCTCCACTGGAGTAAAGGGGCGAGGTGGGTCAAGCTTCTCCCGCCCCTTTTTTTCAGCCCTCTCTTCCCTCGTCTTGTACACCCGGTATGTGCTGTCATCACCCCCTCACTCGTTTAATTTATGCAGAACGCTCCGGTTTGTAGGCTGGAGACAACGATTCAAGACTTCAGAGAAGTCTAACAGGCAAATGGCACCATGCTCATTTGTCTGTCTCTCTCGCTCTCTCTCTCTCACACACAACCTCTTCCCCCTCTTCTTTTTCATCTTTTGCGTTTTTCATGTCAAAAAAGTAATTATGGGTCAGAAAATATTTTTAAGAATGTCATGTGGATTCAACTTTTATTGTACAGTACATCTGTAAAATAATATGTAAATATATGGACAAAAGGAAAGAGAAACTAATATTTTATATTGATGCATGAGATGAAAAAGCATAGTCTGTTATTTGTAGCTTTGAATATACTTTTTTTTGTAGTATTCAAAGGAAAAAAAAGAAAACACACTTAATGGCTGATACCTTCACGGACTTCCTTTTAGTCGTGGGGGGCTTGTGTGTGTATGTGTGTGTGTGCGTCTGCGAAGCAGGCAGTGCTGGTTCTGCGTTGTGTGTCACAGTTTGTTTAAACGGCGCCTTCGTATTTTAGTAAAACTGCTGAAGAAATAACAGTAACTATAGGTTTTTTTTTCATTTTATGGTTTAACAGATAATGACACATTTATTAATCTCTAAAATGTACAGACATTTTGTAAATATCAGAGAGAGCAGACTGTGGATTTAGATGGAGATATAGAATAGTATATTATGGGGAAAGTGGAGTTTTTCAAGCTTTTCGCAGTTGTTAGCTGCCTCATTATATTTCATTAGCATTATGAGCTTTCAGGAAAGGGAAATCGAGTGTAGATGATATATGATAGCAGTGAGATTAGCATAGATCAATGTTTATGATCGCTACAAAGTGCAGCCTTATGGAGAAGTGGAGAATGGCCACATACTATGTACAATGTTTAATAATACAGTTGAAATTTACATAGTGCCAAGCCATAATTTCAGTTTCCTCACTTTGACAGTAATATTTTGGATACGATAGAGAAAATATAGCATTGTAAACTTAACCAACCTGAAATTTAGTCTTACCAAACCAAACCTCATTGTTGCTAGAGATCTTAGCACGCAAACAAGTATTTGCACAGCTTTAATACACTATATACAGTTTATATATAGTGTCTTTTATTAGTTTTTCTTAGATTTACTTTGCGCATCAGTGAACTACAACCAAAATTGAGTCTAAAATATAGACATATTGCATAGATGCAAAAGTTTGGACACCACTGGACAACTGATGTTTTGATTTTCTAAGAACAAAAAATAAGTTTGTCCTTCACAAATAACTCACTTCTGCACATTTTAATGTTTTGTGTTAAATTTAACATGTTGGAGAAAATAAATAAAGCATAAAATGTGGTCTGTGCAAAAGTTACAGCACATTTTGTAATGCATGCCCCCACCCTCAATATGTTAAATGAAAATAGATAGGAATTATACACTAAAATTTGCATTAAAATGCCATATTTACGTTTATTTACTGTAAAGGACATGTTAACTTACTTTCACCAAGAAAATCAACTAAACGTCTTTTGACCTGGGGTGTCCAAACTTTCACATACGACTGTATGACTACCACTTTAAAGGGGCAGTTATGCAGAATTTTTTGAAAAATTGATTTAATGACTTTTCTAGTATTACGTGTGCAGTCCCCTCTAGAAAGAGTTACCAGGAATGTATTCTGTAGGATCGTGATAACACTTAATCTGACCTAAAGGAGGTGCCGTCTTTAGGAAGACGTTAAAACTGTTCTGACCCATTAGCGGTCAATATAGAAGCCCCAAAAAAACGTATAGCACTTATGTCTATATAGCACTTTAAATGTGTGTCTTTGTGTAAATATACCCTAAATTAGCTCAGCTTTTTAAGTTAAAGCCCGAACAAAACCCTAAAAAGACAACACTAATTTACCGTTCTTTCCAATAAGCGGCTTTTTTAGACTTTCTCCTCGTGCTGAAAATTGCAGTCAAGCTACGCCATCTTTACCTAATGGCCATAGTAGCTTTTGGCCAAATCCAGTCTAGGGTTGCTGTGGTCATATCAGTTCAATAATGTGTTAAGTTTGTGGAGATACAGCACATTTAGGACGTTTGTTGCAGTGTAGGTATGATTTAATGGCATACAGGAGTTACATTCTCAACATTTTAATGAGGTTTAGTTTGAGATGGGAGTGGATCCTTTACGGCGTCCCTCCCGCTGCTTGCACTTTAAGCTATCATGAATGTCAGGGGTAAAGGGGAAAGGTCTAATCGGCAAGGAGGTTGTGACGCCATCCTTGGTTTGATCGTTTTAAAGTGTGGACAATCATGAATTTTAGTGTTAGCCAAATTAGGAACTATTTTTTACCATTGTTTAATGAAAAAAATGAAAAAAAGAGACATTTTTGTGTTTTAACTAGTTTAAGTCAGCTTTCTTTTCATCAACGACAGCACTTATAGATATCTTCTCATGGATCTTTATATATTTTTTTCCTTTTGTTTTCTAAATGATCTTATTGATAAAATGGCCTTTGTGTAAAATAAATGTTTTCTAACCATTGATTTTTACCTTTTTGAAGTTTGAGTGGGTTAAACCATCGAGTAAGGATGCCTATTGTCAGGTTAGTTCGAGTAGAAACGGGTTGCAATAATTCGTATGTAATTCATATCAGACCTCAGCATCGCAGCACAGAACCGGTCCGAATGTTCCGCTTTCTCAGGATAAATATGCCTCCAGCCGTTCAGAGTGCTGGTCCAATCACAGTTCACGTTGCAGTATCCATCCAGTAGCAGAGCTACACCATTAATTGTCCACAAAAAGAGATCCCTGGAAACGTATATGGTGATGTGGATTTAGGTGATCTGAGGCAATCCCTCTAGTTACCTGGTCTGACGAAGGCAGTACGATGTTTAGTCACTACCAGTCAATACAATCCAATATGACATTTATACTACCTATCGGTACAGTGAATAAACCCAATGGTGCAGATTTGTTCACTGATAAATGTTAGACTTCAGACTGTTTCACAGATGTTTAGGACTTGCTGTCTCTATACGCAATACAGTTTTCCACCATGTTGAATTCATTTTGTAAAACTACTGGTCCCCAATTAGCGAGATGACCTAATAGCTGGCTAAGACAGAATGGCAGTAACTCACTGAATGAATGTAAACCAGCGTCGTCACGTCGTAGTAACCGGTATGCATGAGCTTGTCCTTAAATGTTTAAAATTTAATGAACAAAGACTGTTTAGAGAGGCAGATAGCCTGTTCTACAATATCATATTTTTCTAAGGCCTGACCAGACCTCTGGAGAGCGTTTGTAGAGAAAGAGCTTGTAGTAGATAAATACGACATGTCTTTAATGTAATAATGCATCTGCTAAGAAAGGGAACAGTGAAGTGAAGCAGAGTTAGGATTATGAGAACCTCAGATGAAGGACTTAAACAAACTGTGACACACTAGAGAACCAGGTTGAACTTGTTTTCTCACAGTGCAGTGGGATGCAGGCAGTGGCTGTTTGGGGGTCTGCTGTGTACGAGAGAGGTTATTGATGTGAGCTCCAGGCTCCTGTTCATACGTTTAGCCATTTAAAAAGATCATGGCAAAAATATTGCTAAAAAAAAAAAATCTTGAAACACCCTCACAGTATCAGTTGTTCAAGAATGGCCTTTACATTTCTGATAAACAATGTTGACGTTGACATACTCAGATGTCAGTAGTTAACATATCCTTGCTGTCCTAAGACCTGTTTAGTTATTATTATTATTTTTTAATGAGCCAGCGTGTCTTTGGGCAACTTTGGTTTTAGCCCAAATTAATCTTAATCAATGAAGATGACAAATACAAATTGATAGATATTGAAGAACTTGACAGATCTAAAGAAATAAAATGAAAAAAAATATATAAACTTAATAAAACTTGCCTTTCAGTGGGGCAGGTTGTCTCAAATGGGCACTGTTTACTAAACCAGTAACGTCTCCATTTATAAGTATGTCTAGATGTTACAAATAGCTGTCTAAGGGAAGTGGATCTTCTGTTTACAGTGGTTGAGAACAGACCTGTCAGTATCATAACATTATAGCTGATGGTTAATTATTATAAATCTAAATTAATATAAATATAAATAATTGCAGTTAACAACTTTTTTTTTTGTTCATGTATCAAAGTAAAAGCCTAAAGTGGCCACGTTGGCTGATTAGCTGTGTCGCTTCCTAGCTGTCGATACTCAGTGCCTCCCAGCTGAAGACAAACACAGCTCCAACTGAAATAAACAGACATTAAAAAGTTATATCAGCCATAAATTAGGACTTATAATGTAAGACTTATTGTGTGGCAATAAATGCGCTCGTCTCAACCCAACAGAGGAAAAAGCACCCAGTTTACATTGTTGTGATGTAAACATGGTTGTGAATGTTAACAGCTGAGTAGGAAAAGCTCAGTGAGCTTAAATAACTGCCATCAGCTGATTGTTATAATTGTGATGGGCCTTGTTGAGAGGCACTAAAAGAGGTCACAGATAATATCTGTGTGTCCTTCTCTTCACTTACTAGAAGTTACTTGGTAATAATATGGTTGATAATATATTCCCACGTCTTGATGGGACAAAACACTGAAGCGTCCAGGCTGCTGGTGAAGATTTATGACTGTAGTATACAGCTGTGGCTTTCAGGTCCAGTCCCAGGCTCTGTTCCCGGCCCCAGCACACCTGATCCAGCTCATCAGGTAATTGTCAAGCTCTTAATGAGCTGGACCAGGTGTGCTGGGGCAGTGAATACCTAAAATACAGGGTGATTCAGAAAGATTCATCCAATTTCAAAATGATTTATTTTTCTTATAAATCATTACCGAACAATGCAGTAAACTGTAAATGGTTTAGTGAGCATAAAGATTATGTAATTATACAAGTGCTCAATATGAACCTCCTCCAGCTGTACAGACATCATCAACGCCATAGTCAAATTCATCCCAGACTCAGTTGAGCATGTCAGGAGTCACTGTACTCTTTCAGTGTGATTTCGGAGATCATCTAGTGTTGTGGAACCAACAACGAACGCTCTGAGCTGTTGGATGAAAATCACATTGCAGAGTTAAGATGGATTCTCTCTTATTGAAGTGGAGAACGCAGAACGCTTTCTGGTCAGGGGTCGCCATCGCCTCTCAGACTGAAGGGAGCCAACTTCCGGTGACAGTCAGAAACTCTATGACCCCCTCTTTCAATTGGTATGTGATTGGTTCCTAGACGCCTCACGGTTGTAAAAAATATGGCTCTTTGAAATTGGATGAATCTTTTTGAACCACCCTGTACCTGCAGGGCAGTGAGTCCCTAGGACCGGAGTTTAAATCCACTTTGTGCTGTGGCCGACGAGGACCGACACATAGAGTCTCATTCATAAAACATACTTGTCACCATTTGCATATGATTTACACAAACACAACATTCACAGATCACACACTAAAATGCCTGCAGTTCATACATCAGGTTGGAAACATGCTCGGCTACGCACATTTCGTGTCAAATGTACAAATAAATCACTTACATGAATTTTCACATACTATCATTTTAAAATAAAATCTGTGTGCGCTCGTTTTATAATTGAGGCCTGTGGTCTCTGCTGTTTGACAAACTGTCAGAATTAACACTGTATTCCACTCATTCTTCCCAAGGCTAAGAGGATAAAGGCTCAAGACAATACGGATATCTAAACTAATTAGCGTGGCTTTCAGCCTAACTCTTCCAGATAATGAGTCAATACTTACAGCTGCTGTTTTATACTAAAATATGCCTGATTTTCTTGGATAGGACAGCAATGATATGTCACTGTCATTGTGTTTCATACTGACACTTTAAGTAACGCGGAGTACAGCTTCCTCAGGCCGGTTCTGGATGCTTAAACCCACATCAGTTGCATTCTCTCGGCCTCTCTATTATCAAGTGACCTCTTTAATAACATGCTTTCATCATGGTCTCTATGAACCCATCATCAGCCACTGAACATGTTCTCTCTCTCTCTTTGTTTTAAATATATAAATCTAGGTGTCCCTTAACATTTATGTACCTGGTCTCTGGCATTCAACATAATTTCAACATTGCCAGATGGTGTGAAGTAAATAAAAAAAAAAAATGTATCCAAAGAGCTGGGAGGAGCGATCAAAGTACCTGCCGAAAATCCTGTTTAATTATTTTATTTTTGGTTTGTTTCTTAAAAGAAATTTTAGTATTCCTGTTGAAAAAGCCCAATGGAAAAGGAGCTGGTTACTCATGTTTAATGTTCTGTAGTTCTGATGTATGCACTAGAAGTTCTGAATGTCTATCAGTGTTCTCTCTTGCTATCATTTAACCTTCGTATGTGTGACGTTCTTTGCAGAACACTTGTGTTTGGCTCATGAAATTTATCTGGTCAGTACACGGTGGGGGGGGTGGGGGTGGGAAATAATCAAATTATTTCAACACACCTGTGATTAGGTCCTTTGCAATTTAAGGTTCACAACATGACTTGAAATCCAGTGATCCATGGAGCTTACAGGGTGATGCTGTTTCCATGGACATTAAGTAAAATAAGCTTTGTGTGCTTTGTAAAGTTGCTGTAATATCAGAGTGCGTGTGCTGCATTGGGTTCATTTGATGAGCCAGGCTATTCTTACATTAACAAAGACATAATGGAAGCTTTTTAAGCGAATGGTGCCGTTTGCTCCCCTTACTCGATTTTGAAAATAAACATATTTAAAAAAAATTATGTCTCAAGTTAACTCGTGTTCTCATTTCAGTGTTTCATATATGAAGACTGATACGGAAGCAATAATAGAACCTGTCTGAACTTCTCCACTTCTGCTAATTTCAACTGCAGCTTTAAACTCTGCAAAAAAAAAAAAACATTGTAGTTCCAGCCTACATCTAACATTCCCCTCCTCTACTTAACACTGATGTATCTGATCCAAACAATAAAGAAGCTAGCTATCTGGAGCAGGGGTGGCTAGAACCAGACTACGCAACAAGGTAGATCTCCAGGACCGGTGTTGGAGACCACTGTTCTAGAGCGTACACTTCCTAGCTCTTACATTCTTTGGGGGGTTTCACACTTTTTCTAAAGGAGAAAACATGGTGCACTGCACAGACTTGGGTTCTCTCTGTTGAGCAACAACAGTGAGTTGCTCATCCTTCCATCATGGATGTCACAATACCAACCTGACTCATGATCTGATCGGTCGGCACAGAAAAAAACGATACATGGAATACTTGACTGGCTCACTCTGATCAAAATATGCATAAATTGTGAGGCACCCAGCAAGTAAACAGCCTCTCTTATTGAAAGTGATAGAAATGTGTAGTGTGAACCCCCCAGTGCTGGTGTTGCCCATGGTACTGATTCATACACATGTAAAAACAGCTCTTAAGGCCCTTCAGCCAAATTTTCTCAGCTTCCAGCAAACCCCGAGACAAACAGCTTGACTGACAGGCTTTAATAGAGTATTTACAGGATTTAGTTTTTGTACAGTCACAATCCGCCGCGCCACAAAATAGTGAATCTGCTTGTCCTTTAAAGCTGGACAAGTCCTGTCAAATATTGACAATGAAGTCAAGTCACCTTGAACAACAAAAACCAGCAGTCAGTGTCTTCCCTGACAGTACTACAGTACTTTAAAAAAAAAGAAGAAGAAGAAGAAAGGAAAAAAAGTGCACAAAAGAAGAATAAATAGAAACTGCTTTCACAGCCGACAGTCTGAAAGGACTTTTCCTCGGGCAGCTGTTCACTTCATGGCAGTGGAGGTGTAGAAGAACGTAAACCCACTTTTGATAAATATAAAATAGAACTTGCACTACTGGCCACTAAATGAGCTCTCACAGTTCATGATGAGTGGTAGGTGAGAGGGAAGGGGCTGTGAAGTGTTAAAACTGTCTGTACTTGCAGCTCATTCTGTACCTGTAGTTGTGATTGTGCAATGACCTTAGATGGATACTAATTTAAAGGGCCTCTGTACTGGACGTTCCTTCAAATACCTGATGTCCACTGATGAGGGACCAATAATGGATGCAGTATATGAAGAACACAAATGCAGAATACAGAAAGACTGAATAATCAGAATAGAAGCCAGTCCTTAGATCACTCAGTCCTTACAGTAGATCAAAGGACAATTGCAGATGTACATGATGTGGAACTGGGCAACTGCTGCTTTGCACTCAGCCTGTTAACTAAATGTTGTGGCTGTTTAGACTCACAATGTGTGCCAGGATACTCAGTCACTACCCCAGAACGCTCAAGTACACTGACTGGAGATTCATAGGACCAACAAAGTAAACAGAGAAGATGTTTTGGTGGGGGAGTAATCTGGAGGGCGAGGAAGAACGAGAAAGGGAAAGAAAAAAAAAAAATTAAAAAACTAAAGGTCACCTGTCACGGAAGCTGGCAGTCCCTGAAAACATACGGCTGAATATGCTCACTCTCGATGCCAACTCTAATGTGGCATTACACATTTTAAACCTGTTAAATGAAAAAAAAAATATATATATATATATATATAAAACCAACACAGCTTCCGTGACAGGATCTTTAAGACGTGAGCTATAACACTGCATTCACACACACTCAAACATAATCATACACACTCCACTATTCACACTCAGCCTTTGTGTACAGTCCCTCTTTGTGAATAGAGCACAGCTGAGCTGGTATTTACAGAAAAACACCAGAAAGTCTTTCCTCCAATCAGAATCCAGTTTCTGGCTTGATGAAGAGAGCAGAAAAAGCAAAGGCAAGGAATACGATCCCTCCGATGATTGTAACTGTGGAGGTAAAACAGAGCAGTTATCCAGCTGTTAATTACCTTGTACTGTTTGCTTATGAAACCCATTTCATTTAATAACAGATTCTTACCAGTCCTGACTGATATCTTCTGAGCTACCATCCTCCCACCAACCACAGCCAGACCTGTGCACAGACAGTGTCCCAGAGTTCCACCCACTGCCACTCCAAATGGATCCTGCAAGGAGGGAGAGTTGTGGCTCATTGAACACATTGAATCTGAGTCAGCGGTCGGTCGTTAGAGAGAATGAGGAGAGAAATGAAAGCAAGAGAACGTCACGAATTCTCACGAACACAGAATAGGCTCATTTTCAATGCCAGTGTAAAGTAATTCCAAATACTTAAACAAATGAGTGATTATCATTTTCCCAAAGAGGAGAATACTGTTATAAATTAACATGGACAAACAAGAGCACTGAAGGTCCTCTGATCACAAATCATTGCGGCCATGTTACAGTTGGTTAGAGTTGCTCCCCTTCACATAGAAGCATGAAGGACCTGCGAGACGACGATCAGCTGTAGGTGTTTCCCAGGCCTTAGACCTACTGGTACGTATATGCAGCACAAATATTTTACTAGGGTTTTGTCTGACAACAGTCAAGAATTGATGCATCTTTTGATGTTTTTATTTGGTTTTCTGATTCATTTTCTTTGATTTTCAAGCTTATTTCATTGTATTTATACTGAGCCACATGTGGGACACACTGCTGCTGTGTGTGTGTAAAAGCTCTGACCTCTTATGTGCGAAAATGAAAAGCAAAACGTTCTGCATTGCTCAAGCCACACAAAGGAAACGTGTATGAAATGTGCATTATTATTGCTGTGGTGTGGTGTGGTGTGCTTGCCCAGGCAGGAAGTAGAACCCCAGTTGCTGCATGGAGGGCAGCTGTATTACCCAGTATGCTAAACCATGGCTTTGGTCTTCTGATTTATGTTTGTCACGGAGGGGAAAAAAATGTATTGACCAATAATGTTTTAATGGATGCAGTCAAAAAACACTAAGTTCAGCTTGCTTTTGCAAGCATTCGGAAAAAACTCAACAATCCCATATCTTTCCAGTTTAGACCAGAGCACACAATTTTAACTTTCTGCAATAAACTAAAACACTGGGGTTGGTGTTCTATACCATGAAACAATGTTGGGAGTCCCCTTGGGAATGTTCCCCTTAGTTCACACTGGTTCGTTTGGCTTGTCTATTCTTAAAAATGATATATGATGTTTTGTGTTTGTGTTTTGTGTGTACTATAACTTTTAGGGACCGTGACTATGGGAGGCATGTAGTAACCCATATGTGTACATCAATTAATGTTCCAGAAGCAATGGGTTTAGCTAGTTAAAGGTCACAGATGTCTGATTATACTGCAGCTTGAGCGACTGTAATTGCTTTAGAACTTCAGCAGACTGTCTGTAAACACTTAAAGCAAATCTTCAGCTGAGTGGTACCGTGTGTGAATGTTATCTGACCTCTCGTGCAGCCAGGACGATGGTAGCGAGCTGAGAGCGGTCTCCCCACTCAGCCAGGAAAGTGAGAGTTAGTGCCTGGATGAAGATGGGCGAGATCACACTGTGCCACTTCCTCTGAGGCAGCATGTTTGCCGCTGTCCCTGTCTCCACATCTGGCGCTCCATTGGCCAGCTTATAGCGCTGGAGCTGTGGAGAAAATGAGGACACAGCCAATAAGAGATCAAGTTGTTAGAAACATCAAACTTTCATTTAACAGTGTTATCGCTGCCAGGCACAAGCTGACTTATAAAACATATTTTTACATTTTCATATGATAACTAGAAGCTCATCACATCGTGAATGCATATGGAATGTCTCGCAACTACAGGGCTTCTTAAAAAAAAGGAATTAAGTAAACCAAAAGAACTGAATTGTTTCTAACAGAAGTATTTGCCCACAGTATCGACTAGGGCTACCCAGGTAGTTGAATTAGGTGTGTCTGAGTAGGGAAATCACCAGGTTGTGCTCAACACCCTCCAAAATGGTAGTTAAAGAGCCTTGGTATAGACTTATGTGTTTGTTTATGTACATGCACGCACTGTCCAAAGCTTTGGAGACACCTGCTTATGCAACATTTCTTGTAAACTCAAAGGTTTTCATAGGGAGTTTATTTCCTCCTTGCTGCAGTAACAGCCTCTACTCTTCTGAGAAGGCCTTGCAACAGATAACAGATAACGCACTGTGGTTAGTAGTGGGTGGTCTGACCAAAAATGTATACCTCACAGTATAATTAAAACTGAATGTTTCTTACTGAAAGTCAAGGGACAGCACAGACTAGTAAGTTAGCTTACAAAAATAGATTTACTTCAGCATCTTAAATGTTACTGATTTCTATACACCAATGTTATTTTAAAATATTTTTACTCTGCAAAACAGTAAAAAAAAAACAAAAAAAAAAAAAACAACAACAATATATTAAAAAATGTCAATACAGCCCAATGGACTTGTGTTGCGGAGCTCAGTGTTGTTCCCCGTCTGAAAAAGCTTCGTATTTAGCAGTTTTTGTTCAAATTCTCCGTTCCACCTTAAATGGAACAGCAGTTCCATTTAGGCACTAGAATGTTAAGGTGGAATGGGAAATTCCTCAGCTTCAACAAATTTCTCTAGTCATTTGTCTTATTCATTGCATCCCATAAACTCATGCCTCCGGCTGGCAGATGCTGCTGAAATCTGGAAAATGTTTTTATTTTTATTTTGAAATGTGACAAACACCCATGTGACCCAGCCACTCAACTAAACGGGGTAACGTTAGTGTGATTTGAACGCTGAATTATCTGCGCTTATTTGTGGCATAGGCTACTGCTGTTATGTTTATGACAAAATTCATACCTAAGGAAGAATTTCAAACAGCCACTGCTAACTGCCATGAGGATTTGATTGCATTCTGCCATAAGAGCATTAGTGAGGTCAGGTACTGACGTTGGATTATTAGTTCTGGATCACAAACACCACTCCAACTTATCCCCAAGGTGCGACAGTGCCCAATCACTCCAGAGAACACACAGTTCAACCGCCACAGCCCACTCTAGAGCTTTATATCGCTCTAGCTGACAGCAATGTTCAGAGTCAGCAATGCTTTTCTACTGAGATTACACAAGCTGTGAAAAAAGACTGGCCATAGCATTCGACAGGACGTGATTATCAAGGTCAAATATATGCTGCTTAAAAATTTCAGACCCCTACACTGAAAATGCTTTCCCACATCCAAAGACAAGGGAAAACCAAATTACTGAGTCAGGAGTGCATTCAGTTTAAGAACAAACGTTTGCAGTAGTTTGGGAGTTTCCAGCTCCCCTCCTTGTTTACAGTCTGTGGTTTTGCTGATCCAGTCACCTGCATCCACTTCTCAGCAGCATGTTCAGTTAAGTGGGACCCACAACTCTCATTTGTCAGAGTGCAAAAGTAGTGTTGCATAGCATTTTTCTCACACAGCCAGATAACTCACCTCCTCATCTTTCTTCTTAATCTCAGCCTGCACCTCCTCAAGCTCTTCCTGGCCTTCATCAGCACTCATCCTCAACCCCTCTCTTAGCATTCTGATGCCAAAGATGGCAAACAGCGCCGTGGAGATATAGTAGGTGTAAATCCGTGGGATAATAGTGGTGGCATAACCGAACAGGACTGATGGGAAAAGACAGAGGTCAAAAGTTAATACTGGATCACACCAGTAAAACAATGGTTGTGAAACAATGCTCCCTTATCCGCCTGATGAACGTACAAAGAATGACCGAACCAGCAAGGTATTAATGTGTCTTTGGGTTTGCTGCCCTTACAAACAGAGATGGTTCCACATTGTAAACACAAAATGCAGCTTTTAAATTATCATTCCCTTTGATGAAAATGTATTCAAAAACCACCCATGTGAAAAAGTAATTGCTTTGTAACTCTTTCCAGACTGGTAGATTTCAATTTTTTCCATCTGTATTTGAATCTCCTTAGAACAAAGCATCATGTGCTGATTTCTGAGACATTCTGGTCTGCTTCACATTGCCAGACAGATTCTACTTGTTGTTTAGGTTCAACAGATCCGTCAGTAATCACGTCTGGGTGTGGCTTGTTTAACTGAACCTAACTGTCAACTGAATTTAATTAACCGGTTGATTTAGTAGCTAAGGGGGCAATTACCTTTTCACACAGGGGCCAAGTACAGCTGAACAGCATTTTTTGAACGCATAGTACTGGTCTTAATAAAATATCCAAAGATTTGGAAAATGACTGGTGGTCTCCTCTGAAAAGGTTTTAAGATGACACAAAGCAGAATGTACTTAACTTAGCTACGCATGACGCATCTAAAATTACAGAGAAGAGAGTTTAAACCTCTTAAAATGACTGATTGCAACATCTCCTCTACCAAAGAACAGAACTCACTTTTACAAACTACTGTGTAGCTCTAAAAAGGCCTTAGGGTCGTTCTCAAGAAAGAGCGTCAAACGATTTCCATAAATTTGACTATCAATCCTGATGTAAATAAACAACGTGTATAATTTAGGAGGTCAGTTGGAACACTGTATGGGATAAGCAAATGATTAAATTATTAATTTTACTATTTTAAGTCTATGTTTTTCTCTCTCATTACCACAATACGCCAACATATATGTTTCTCATTACTGGTATTTATCTCTTTTTAGGGGTCCAAGCACTGTAGGTACATGGAACTTTATTGCTTTGCTATAATTTATTATTTGCTAGGATTTTTTTTTCTTCTTCATCATCTTATTATTCTTTTTCTTCCCTAAAACTGATTGGGTAGAAGAAACCATAAGTCATGATTGGGGGGGGTTACAGTCAAAGTTCTTGCTTCTACACAATCCTTGCGGCAATATTTTTGTTTGTTTTTCTAATTAGAAAACAAGGAATCACTTTTAACTGGTGAATAATGTTTTCTATGTAAATTCTAGTAAAAAGAAAATCTCAACAGCTGTCATTGTGTTGCTGAGTTGACATAAAATTTCAAAACACTCAACTTGTTTTTTTATTTATATATATATATATATATATATATATATATATATATATATATATATATATATATATATATATACACATACACACATATATACACACACATATATACACCCACACACACACACATTTTAATAATCAGCTTTAAAATACATAGTCTGACAATGTCATTTTAGAAACCTGAGAAAAAAAATTGTTTACACATTTATCTTCAAATGTACTGGGTTGCAGTAATGAGAATTCAGTCATTAACCAGAAAACATTACAAAAAAAACTATTCAAAAAGCAGTTAAATAATTCAAACCTATTTTAATTATTCAACCAGGTATAAATGTTTGTATACCAAAAAAATAAATAATAAAAAAAAAAACAGTAAGCCTTACTCATTTTAAATGTTTTTCCAAGTTGGGTCCCAGTATTTGTCATGTTCGTGAGAATAACTCATTAGCATGATGAAGGCAAAAATGACTGTGCCTCATTTGCCTTTACCTTTAAACCAAGCAGTTCATTTTGTTACTGAACAAACTGCCAGTCTGCTTTCACTTAAACTGACAATAGCATACTGAGTCGTAAAACCACTACAGCCCTTCAAGTCAGAAAGATTTACATTAATCCTAATTGGGCACATTTGGCTTAGGGACTACATCTTTGGTTTGACAACACCACCCATTATTTACTTAGGACGTAGCTACTAACTAAATGAAGCAACTGAATGTGCTGTTTCAGCATGTGCTTTTTGTGTGAAAATGGCCACGGTTTCCTATCAAGATAAAGCTTTTTAAAAAGGCACAATCCACATAAATCAACAACACAGAAAGGTCTGCCATGTCCTTGTGACCGTCATTGAACATCCATGACGCAGTGTGATATGGCACAGACAATCCTCTCAAACTAAGCCATCTTTGCCTGAGAGTCTGGTGTAATTTTCCTCTCTCTAAATAGTTTCGACCAGTTTAATTTCCAGCATTTGCTATACACAGACCAGCCACTTCATTAGGTCCTTGTGTCTACACTCTTTGTCCATTTTATTAGGTCAATTCATCATGTAGGTGAACTTCTAGTTCTGCAATAACAGACTGCAGCTATCTAACAATACTCTTCATTCGACAGCTGGGTAGCACATGTGGCCATTAGTTATGTACTAAATCATATCTATTTGTGTTTACGTAAGAAGACAGACGGAAGCACTGGAAATTTACTGAGACCAATGGCCAGTCTGGTTTGTCAAACAACAGAGGAGGAAGAAAAAAGCCATAAACAAGCCAATTCAGCACCACTTCGGAGTCCCTTCATGTCACAGAGCTGTCACCACCTCTGAAAAGCCAAGCCAGTGCTGATTCTGGTCTTAACTTAAGCCCTGTCACTTTCCCTCTCTAACTTCCCTTTAGCATTTAGTTAAAATTTTCCCGTTCCACCTAAAATGGGGCAGCAGTTATTATAATGCCTCAGGTGCCTGAAAATAACTGCTGCACCATTTAAAGTGTAACGGGAAAATTTAAACAAGAAAATGGTGAATGTCCTTATCAGAAAAATGTTACCAGCATTAAAAGAATAATTAGAATTTTGATTCTAATTTTATATAACTACTTATCCCCCGAGTCTGTACTGAATTAATATAAAACACAAAATAAAACATTTAAAACACTGAGTTACTATGCTGTACGAATGATATGTGCATACTCGGTAGGACTACTGAAAAGGTAGAATAAACTGGTAGAACACCGGTTCTCTTCAGGTCTGTTTTTTTTTGCTTTGACCACAGATGACGCCGCAGAAGATGACAGAGTTTGCCGTTCGAGTCTCCATATTCAGCAATATCTCTCTTGTTCCTTTAACTATCTTTCAGCTCTGTAAAGATCAGCACTGTGAGCTACGGCCCCACTAACACTCGAGTAACCAGCCCATATCGAGCCAGACTTTCTTCCTGAGTCTGTGCGTCAATACATAAAGACGTCTGCGGTAGTCTTAAAAACCCTGCCAAATCCAACCCAACACCTCTGACTTTCGCATGAATATTTCAGGCAGTATAGGGAGACTCGTAGCAGCGCATGAACGTTTTAGCACGTTTTTTTCCTTCTCTTGACTCACTAATGTAAATTCTTTCACTTTTAACTAAAAAAATCTTACACAGTGCAGCTAAAGTGGTGATAAAATGAACAATGGGTGTAGATTAAAAGAGGAACATAAATGAAGTGGCCGGTTGGTGTGTGTTTCAATACAAAAACAATAACAAGCTTTAGTTACATGTGTCCTCTTTATTTTGTCTTAAAATAAGACATTTTGTTGAAGAGAGTAAAAACTGTAGAAATGAGAATTCACCAAGCTGCTCAAACTCTGGACAGTATTACCCCACTCACCTGACAGGCAGGTCATGAGACCCAGAGCCAACATAGCTCCTGCCAAGACAGTGAGCCGGTTGTATCGCATGGCCATGATAGCTGCGATGAAGAAGGTTTTGTCTCCCAGCTCTGAAACGATGATGACCGAAATGGCTGCCACAAACGCATGGATAAAGCCCAGGTTGCCTTTTCCGGTCTCATCCTGACTGACTGCTGGACCTGCAGGTTGGCCAGTGGCAGCTTTCTGTAGACAGAAACATTCAGCAGCTATTTACCATGTGTAATCATGTATGCTTGGCAATGAAGAAATGATAAAGGTGGTTTACAGTATCAGTTCTCTTAATGACTCTGATGTTGATAAGTGGAGTGACGTCAAGTCTTACAAGTGTGCCACATGGGTGTGTTTGACTCGTATGAGTCAAAGCACTACAGGTGAGTAAACTAGTTATACAAGTGCCTCTGCTAATGTCAATTGTAATCTTATACCATAATTCAGCTCTCCAATGTGCCCACAAGAAGGTGGTTTGTGTTTTGAGTCTTGAGTTTCACTGTTTATTCCTCAGGCTCTTAGGGACTTTTTTCTGCCACTGTAACCCAAGGCTTTCATATTAGGGGGCTTGGATCTGGATTTCTTAAAGCTGCTTTGTGACAGTGAGTGTTAAGAACACTACTGTAATTAAAGTGGAGAGTATAATGCAAATAACACGCACACCACATATGTGTAGCATTACATTTCAATAAAATACAGGGTGTCCCAAAAAAACTGACATCATTTCGTAGTGTAATAACAGCCAATTCTCCCTCAAATGATCTAAAATTTTAACAAAATGTATGAAAACTAACCAAGTTTAATTTTTAATGTTTTTTTTCAGGTTGAAGAATGGCGAAAATCTACATCCCTCTAAACTTCTTGTTCGAATTTTGATAAATAAATGTTGTATTGTTCAACATGAAGCCTCTTTAATTTCGTTTGCCTACGACATGTAGTTACTCAGATATTCACATCTCAAATGATGTCAATTTTTTTGGGACACACTGTATATCATACATAACCTTAGTCATGTGTGCACAGAACAACAGATGATTTTGATTCCTCTGACTACAGCCATGTGCTATGACGGCTCTGAAAATGGCCAAAGTAATAATCTTAAAAAAGATGGTTCTTCAAGGGTTCCTTAGTAAAGGGAATGGTTCTATTTAGAACCAGGAGCTCTATATATAATAATTTTATGCTTAAATGGTTCTTTGCATGGTAAAAACATTCTTCAGATCGATGGAGAATGTGTTGCGTATGATTCTATATAGAACCTTTTTGAAAATGGTTCAACACAGGACCAAAACGTGTTCTACTATTGTTGCGATGTCAAGCTTGCAGAACCATACACAACACACGCTCCATCAAACTGAACGTTACGATGTTACCATACAGAACCATATACAACACACTCATGGTGAAATGGTTCGTCAGATTGATGGAGAATGTGTTGTATATGGTTCTATATAGAACCTTTTTTTGAAAATGGTTCCATGCAGCACTAAAAGGGTTCTTCTGTTGTTACAAACTTGACATTGTGACAACAGCAGAACCCATTTTGGTGCTATAAAGAACCATTTCCAATAAGGTTCTATACAGATCCATACACACAACCCATTCTCAATCAATCTGAACGTTACGATGTTACCATACAGAACCATATACAATAAACTCTTTGCATGGTGAAATGGTTCGTCAGACTGATGGAGAATGTGTTGTATATGGTTCTATACAGAACCTTTTTTGAAAATGGTTCCAAGCAGCACTAAAAGGGTTCTTCTGTTGTTACAAACTTGACATTGTGACAACAGCAGAACTATTTTTGGTGCTGGATAGAACCATTTGCAGTAAGCATCTATACAGAACGATACACACAACACATTCTCAATCAATCTGATGAAAAAATCGCCAAGCAAAGAACCATTTAAGCAAGAAATGGTTCTATACAGAACCATTCCCTTTACTAAATGTACTTACTGTACATTTGTGAAACACGTTTACTTCAAATACACTCTTAAAAAAGTACTTGAAGTAAATGTGTTTCACAAATGTACAACTTCGATCATTAAATTATTCGATTATTCGACAGCGAAGTAAGGTTATCAAACTCAATTCAGTCCCAGGACACTCAGCTTAGCTGCTCGTGTGCTCAGTCTAAGTTTGCTCTCCTCTGGTCGTAAATACAATTAGCCTAGAAGTTAGGTTAGCTTGCTACCGTTAGCGAACAAGCAAGCTCAACACGCAGCCAAGCAGTCTAGCCATATTTTACTCATTTGAGAGGTAAAATTAGATGTTATTAAGCTGTTTGTTTTACCTCAACAGGCTGCTGCTCCTCAATTACTTTGGCGTCCTCTTGAATCGCGGAGACTCTCGTCAAAATCAGCAGAATTAGGGCCAGCAGGACGCAAAACAAGTTCGCCTCAGTTTGCCGAAAGCCGGCCCGGGGAGGCATTTTAAAAGCCTGCCAACACAGCAAAAGGGTAACGGTAAATAAGCGTCGCAACCCAAGTTCATAAAATAATTTTACCTGTATTTATAACAGTAATCTATGCGGCTAGCTGGCGGGCTAGCTAATCAATCAACTAACTAGCTGAATTCATGTTAACGACACAGCGAGCCGCTGTTGCCGAGCAGAAACGAACTTGCTGGCAGCCGGAGCGATATGATTGGTCCGCTTGGAAGAAAACGTGTGCCTAGCAGATTTGCGTCATCAGAATGGACTTAAATGATTGGTGGCTGAAGCTGTCGGTGAACTACCTGGTCGGAATGGGGTTAGGTTGGGTCTCACTGGAATTAAATTAGGAAGTAACAAAAAAGGCCACGCATAAACAGCAGAGCCGGTTTATGAGGAGCATGGCCACTTCCTATTCCCCCGTTATATCAAAAACAGGACTGCTAAACAGCAGAGGGCGCCCGCGAGCGAGTCCTCAATGAATGGGAGTAAATGGAGCTCAACGGCTAAAAACGAACAGTTAAAATAATTTCTAATCACTCGCCCAGAACGTTTCTTTAATTTTAGAAAGTAGAAGGATGTATTTCACTTAAAAAAACTAAGAAATCTTACCCATATATTTCCTTTTTTCTACAGCGAACGGGTTTTGGGCAGCAGGAGGCGGGCATTACTGCTAGAGAGTGATGATTGATTGGCGAGCGGAGCAGCTCATTGGCTGTTCGCGCTCACTGACGTCATGAACATACATGAGGCGCCGTTTTAAACTCCTATAACTCGAGTTTAAAAGCTCTTAAAAATATAACAGCGGTGTTAAAAAGTTTTATGCTGTTCTGTGTTCAGGAAATGATTGTATTCTTTTAGATTAAAAATGTTTAAGCATTTATAAACTATGATTTTGCTCAAATGCTCCATATCAACCGATTCATTTTGGACTCACTCAGGAGCGCCCTCTAGCGCTTGAGAAAACCGGAAGACATTGCAGAGTGGTAATTCTCATCTCTGCAAGTTCTCTGACTCTGACTCTCGACCCCGCTTAACTTTAACCAAAACAGCGCCAGGATCATAGATAAAGGCATATAACAGATATTAAACCGCCCTAAAGGTAGTTTATATGACTTAATATAAATGAGATATCTTGTTACTGCATTCAAATATGCGCTAGCAAGCTGCTGCAGTTAATTAAGCAATAGAACACTCGAGGGAGTGTGTTATCGCGAAATAATATCACGGCTGTGATTCGGTCGCTGTAGATCATCACAGCCGTGATGTTATACGCGGTAACACACGACCTCGAGTGTTCTGTTGCTTTTATACAACAGTTAAATAAATAAAGTAAGAAATTAATAAATTGAGCCGTGAACGCGGCGTTTAATATGTTTTAATGTTCGCAGTTCCTTCCGCCAAATTATAGTTCCTTAACAAGAAGCTTGTTGCTACGTCAGAGTAACGAGCTCCGCCCACTCGCTGCACAGCCGGCAGTTCGTTCTCCAGCTCCTCACACTAAATTCCCAAACTGTCACCACCGAGCAGCTTTTTTGTTTTTTATCGCGGCAGTTTTATGGCTCAGTCCGATTTGGCCAGACTCTGAAGATTAGACTACACGTTTGGCGAATGGTATTGGGTTCATTTCTGGCTGATTCCAGGTTGTTTAGCTGTTCTTCTGTCACAGCTGCCGACTGAAAAGCTCAGTGGTGATGACAGTTTGGGAATTTAGTGTAGCCTCATCACCAAATCGGCTGTCGGTCAAATGTGATCTTAAAAGTGTCCATTTTCTGTTTGTGCGCAAAGTAATAAGTAAAAACGTTCAAATGGCTTGAGCGTCTCCTACAGCTGAAGTCGTGATGTTATGTCGAAATAACAGCACGGTTAGACCACTTCTCAACCAATCAGCTTGCGTGGCCGGAACTAACTGTTGTATAATGTCAATTATCTGACAGCAGTCAGAGGGAATGTGTAGTGAGGAGAGCGGCCACTCATTAATGTGTTCCCGGTTTGTCAAACACTAGAGGGCGCTCTAGTGCGAGGCCAAAATAAATGGGTTAATATGGAACATTTTTATATCAAAGCATGCATTAGTTTCCTGAATACATAACAGCTTAAAACATTTTAACACTGCTGTTATATTTGTGAGCTCTTTTAAACTGCAATTAGGAGTTTATGGTTGCGGTCGACTTAATGTGGCCTTGCACAGCGCTGATTTAACGTGGTACATGCTAGTCTTAAAGCAATGCGTGCTGGTTAGACATTATGTCCAGCTTTCGCCGGTGTGCTCAATCTCACATCCCCGTCCTGATCTTACTTCCCCTGGTTTCCGGTCACGGTAGTAGCTGTGTTATTGGAGGAGTCATACATCTCATCGCTGTCGATCAACAACTCTGGGCGGAACCTCAAAAGGCAAAGGTAGACATGTATGTGCCTGACTTTTTGTAAACTTAAATATATTCATAAACAAACACAAGTTAATTGCACTAGCCACCAAAAAGGGTTCTGCTATTGGTATGATGTCAAGCTTGTCATAATAGAAGAATACTTTTAGGTGCGATACAGACCCATTTTCAAAAAGGATGCAAATGGTTCTGTATAGAACTCATGGTCCAAATGTTGACCAAGGAAGCTGCTGAGTTAAGAAGCGCTGGTCACAGCAGCCAGAATGGAAAGACAGAAGACATGAAGACACCATAATAAGACAAAATCAGCACCTCTGCCTACCTATGCAACCGGAGCGTTATCTTCCATAAGAATAAGGATATTTCTAAGAAGCCCCAGCCAACAAAATCCATCTCACTAGGTTTGTTAGGAGGTCCGCTTTGTCCCTAGCTGCAGGTTCTGTTCACCCAAAACCAGAGAGGCCCAAATAAGAGAGATGCTTCTCCCATCACTCTGCCAGCTCCTCCTGCTGAGTTCCTTAGAGCTCTTCTAAAGGGTCAACATGAATAAGTGGCGAAACATCAGTGAAACTTTGAAACCTGTGTTACCAGAAGAAAACCCAAGCTGAAAACATGGTGTGGATCAGGTGCGTGATGAAGATTCTGACAGTTCTGGCTGTATGGACAGTTAAGCCCTCGGACAGTCCTTCAGCATTAAAGCCTGGACAACTCATTTAGACGAAATGAGAACACCTACCACCCTGGACACTTGAAACTTTAAATAACATCTCATAAATGATATTTTTATCATTTATCAAGCATTTTCTTCAATAAAGGTTCATTTTTCCTGCATGAAATTTTATTACTGAACAGAACAATAGGAAACTTTTTAGAAATGCTCAGAGATGTTAGCAAGATTTAGCAGAGAATAAACACAAACCTAAGAGTGTTTATGCACAGGGACGTATGTTGTGCCTATATCATTACAGTTTTATGCTTTTTGTGTAAGACATTCTTCAAAGACTACACAGAACGGGAAAAGAAACTGCTGTACATAAAATCAAAATTTCGATAAAACAATAAAAAACTGTTTTAAAGAAAATGCACAATGAGCAAAAATATTTATATTCATATGAATTATTTTTAGAGGACAGCCACCATTAGCATTAGCTTGCATCGGTGTGAACCTTAGCAAAAAGTAAAATGAATCAAAATTGTGTTAAGGATATTAGGTTATTTTTAGCCTGACCTCCTGGTTATTCATGGTGGTTAAGGTCAAATGTATATGGCAAGAGTTGAATGATAAGGAAGATAGGCAAATTTTACAGTAATTTTTTACACAATATTTGGCTGTGTGCAGGCTACTTAGAATTAGCACTGACTTTATTTCATGTTGACTGGATTGACCTCAGCATCTAGCTAATTAAACACATGCATCTTCACATTAAAAATAACTAGGCAATGTGCCATGATGAAAGTAGACATGTTTGATAGCTGACCCATCTAACCATCGGCTAAACTAGCCTATACTGAGGTACTGCTGAAAGGAGACCACGCTGCAGATCGAGCAGGCTACAGGACAAGAGACAAGGACAGAAAATTAGGCCATCTACAGTAAAAGTAGAAATACTCATCAACAACCGTATCAGCAATTACTTTAAAAAATACACAAAGATAATAAATAGAACAAACGTAGAGATATCACTAATCTCACACCCGTTATAGTTAACAGGTTGCTATTAGCTGACAATTGGACATGAGATTGGATTGAACATCAGAATCTGAACTAATTTTGAAATTTTGTCAAGAAATTATGCAGATAATTTTGCTAGTTTCAACAAATAAGGCTTGAAACAAGCAAAATTATCTGCCAGAGGAATAAGACAATTCTTATAAAGTTCTTACAACAATCTCATATTTAGGAATATTCTATTGCTACAGAAGAGAAATGAAGAGGCTGTTATACACTGAGGACGTTTACCTCAGTTTTTTTTTGCAAATGCTTAGCACTGAGCACCAAGGAGCAGATTCCTTAGGAGAGGTGTTAATTACCAACAGTCTGGTGGGGCTTTAATGTCTGATTAGTGCAGTATAACCACACTTGGCTCACATACTTTCCATATAAAAGCCTGTTTCTGTCAGATAGAAAAAAGTTTATATGTTTCAGGTTCATTGAGCCGGTTTACACTTTACATTAATATGTGTTTCGTGTCTGGATCATAAAAAAACTAAAGCTTGAGAAAAACTTCACCGTTTAACAGGACAGTGATCTGAAGGCCAAAGCAACTTAAACAAAAAGCAATAAAAAGGTGAATCTTCTATAATGGTCAAGTCAAAGTCCAGACAGCACAAGTGTCATCCAACCAACCTGAAGAAACTGGAACAAATCTGCCTCGAAGAATGACCGAAAATCTCTCCCAAACAGTGTCAAACCTGGTAGAAACTTACCCCAAACAGAGCAGCAAAAAGTGGTTCTACCAAGTGCTGGTCTGAAGAGGTTGGATACTGACACAAGCAGCATTTTTCAGTATTTAATTTTTTTTAAAGATCTGCTGACAAATAGTGAATTTTGACTTTTACTTTAAGAGAATATTGGTTTCAATAAAAAATACTGAATCGAATCTGATGACTTTTAAGGGGGTTTAATACTTTTGCATGGCAAAGTATATCATAATAGCACAAGATATTTCAGTCAGCATTATACAATTCTTCCTCAGTACTGTTAATCCGTGCTAAAAGAATGTCTTGCAAACAACCCAGCTTGTTTTGGACAGACTTGTTGTGTTTTCTTACACCAAAGGGAACCTGACACTGTAGTAATGCAGAAATGCACCCAGTGCATAGATATATTCCTACATACAGTCAAGTCCTGTAGAATTAAGTTTAAAAACTTTTTTAATGTGAAGACTTTTCCTGATGCAGCATCTGCACAACACAGGGACGTTTCAGTGGCAAAGCTCAATCAGTTCTGGAGACCAGTTCTTGTAATCGCTTGTTATCACTGTCATGTCCAGCTCCCCTTATGTATGTTATAGTTACAGAAATTCTGCTTCAGGACCTTTTATTTGACAAGCGAAGGGACATTGAAAACTTATTTTCATTTACATGCAATAGGATGATAGTGGTTGCAAACCTGGACAAAGCTGAGCTGAAGTGTTTTACTGACAGGGGCCCATAGGTATTCCAGATATGTACAGTTCTGCTCAAATGTTTTAGCCACCTGAGAAAATTAGATAATTGGGCAGAAATCATGTATTTGCTCTGCTCAGAAAAACACTAATATTAAAACAAATATAAATAGCATTAATAAAATAAGTGGTGATTTTATGTGGCTCTAAAATATGCAATTTGACTAGGAACACCCAAACTTCACACCTCTCTCCCCCAGTATTATTTGAATTATTATCCAGTACTTGTTTTGGCTCAGTCAGTGTTTCATTAAATTGAATCAGGTGTGCTGGTGGTGGAATTAAATAAATTTAAGTGATAGCTTGGGGTGGAGAAAAGGAGAAATCTGGAGCCAAACATGAGTTCTTCTAACCAGCTCAAAAGATATCAACTAATTTTTAAAGAAATCTTTTCATATTTACTGCATTAATGTTTGTTTGCATTTATTCTAATGTGATAGTGTTTTAAAAGCACACTAACTGCCGAAATAAATCATTTTAAATAATTTTCTTAAGTGCCTAAGACAGGGGTGTCCAATCTTATCCATATAGGGCCGGTGAGGCTGCAGGTTTTCATTCCAAATAGGCTGGAGCACACCTGATTTCACCCGTTAAATAGATTTCAGTCTTGAAACAACTGATCATGTGTGTGTTACTGGTTCATTGGACAAATAAACTGTAACTGTGCTGAGCAAATGTGCAGAAATGTGTTCTCTGTAGAGGATGCGTTCATGTATTTTCACTTAGAAAATCAACAAAACATGTAATTTGACTATGAACACCCAAACTTTTGCATACGACTGTGTCTGTGGTTGGGCTGCATGCAGCCCTGCTGAACCGCTGAATGCTGGAAAGGACCTGCCCTTGACGTTCATTGTCACGAAAAACAAATTAATGCGGACATGAACAACATTATTTTACTGTTCTACACATTTAATCATAAACTGTCCATTTATTTGTATTAAAAAAAACATATCATAGCAGAAAAGGAACGAAGGCTTTGCGCTGACGTGGATATGCCTTAAATGTGCTTTGGTAGTACTCGTGGCATAGCTGGGCAGCCAGAGCTTGATTGCAGAAAATATAGAGCACCACTAGCCACCAAGTGACAGAGCAGCAGCCACAGCACACACCCAGCGCAGTGTAGATCAGCAGTTCAGCCAGGTAGTGAGGACAGGACACTAGCTCAAACCAGCCCCCATGTGGGATCCTGTGGGCCAAAGTCTCCACTTTACCTGCACACAGAAATAGAGAGAGACTGCCTATAACCTCCTTTGAGGATAAATATCAATGCCCTACACATTCAGCTTAAAACAGTAATGGATGCTAAACCAAAAGGGTTCTTTTATTTCAGTTTACTTGAAGGGATCCTTATGGCATAGATCTCATCCTGCTTTATTAATAAGGCCGTATTTGCTACGCGAGCAAGTCTTTACCTGAGCTGTTAGTACGCAGGCTGGCCAGCAGTGACAGCGAGTGGTGCTGTAGCAGAGATGCCCAGATGAACAGCAGGACTCCTGCTATATGATACCATGTGATTTGGGACAGAAATGGTCCAGCTGAGTCTCTTGACAGACCTAGAAAATGCAAATATGATCAATATTATCTCAACAACAAGTTTATTACAGGTGTTGCAAAATATCTGTTATATTTATATTTAGCAGTTCAGCCTATCTGCAGAACATATAATGAGAGAAGCAGGACCGGAAGAAGATGTTCAAGGATTCAGGATTGGTGGAAGAAACATCAATCATCTTGGATATGCAGATGATACAACAAAATCAGGAAGACCTGAAGGCCTTTGAATAGGAAGGGGTAAAAAACTAAGAAAAGATGGGACCTCAAAATAAAGAAGACTACGGTTATGACAACATGCCTGAAGTGCCCTTGAGCAAGGCACTTAACCCCCAACTGCTCCCTGGGTGCTGTGGATAGGGCTGCCCACTGTTCTGGGCAAGTGTGCTCACTGCCCCATAGCGTGTGTGTATGTGGGTGTTTCACTGCACAGATGGGTTAAATGCGGAGGTGAATTTCCCTGTTGTGAGATTAATAAAGGGTAACTTAAAAGATCTGAATTGTCCAGGCTATGCTCTCTCTGTGAATCTTTATGGATGTGAGAGCTGGATGACAAACAACCAATACAGGAAAAATATTGATGCTTTTGAACTTTAATGTTGGCAAAGACTTTTAAAAGTTTCTTGGAGGGCAAAGAAAACAAACAGATGGATGCTTGACCAAATTAATATTTATCTCTCACTTGAAGCCCAGAAAACCAAACTGATGCTATGTTATTTTGGACACGTTATCAGAAGAGTCAGTTCCTTGAAAAAGTCTGTTATGCTTGAAACAGGTAAAAGAGGAAGAGGGTGAGCAACAAGATGGATGGATACAATCTGAGGAATCAATGAACCAGCCATAGGATATAGGAACATAGAATATTCTGGAAAATTGAGTATTCGGAATGGATTTGACAGCACTTAATACATTCAGCAAGTTGGGGACTTTTCAACATGTATATTTTTCAGATTATTTTACAACTAGTTACGTTCATTGTAAGAGCAGATCTGTGAAAGCATCTATACTTATACACAAATTTCAGATGATATTCATCTGTACATTTTTACATCATCAAACTCACTGCTAATGGCAGAAAAATGTGTCAGATAACAGAAACTCATACTCACTATCTGTAGGTTGTGAGACACCTGCGCACAGGACAGTCAACCCCAGGAAAAGGTAATAACTCAATCCAAATGCATACTGAACTACATGGATCTTGCCATCAGAGAAAATGCTGACCAACAGGCACTCCAGCAGGCGTCTAAGGGAATGAACCCACAGAAGTGCTTGCAACACCAGGACACTCAGCTGAAGTTCTGAAATATAGAAAAAAACAGTGACTGACGGAGAAGGTGGTTACATCTTCTACAGGTCTAAGTATTACAGTCAACATCTTGAGCAGCAATCATGCTAGTGTACTCTTCAAAGACACACCAGTCCAAGCAGCTGCTGGACGTCCAGTCAGGAAACGAAGAACGTCAGTCAAGAATTCAGGAAACACCTCTCCAAATATTACAGCACGGAAGGAGAGGATAAAAAGAAGCCCATTCCAGAGGACAGATATGGCATAGAAATGCCAGAACCATCTACAGGAGGTGAAGAGAAAAATGTGTTGAAGATGTTTTGAGTAACAAACTGAGCAAGAATAGGTGAGAGGAACTGGTTAACATCCTTTTTTCCTAAGAGGATGCTAGAGTTGGGTAGTATCAAGTTACATTTGATGGATTTGTACCTTCCTGAGTATTTTCAAATGATAATACTGTTACTTCAAGTATATTTGGGAAGACAAAAAATTCCTTACATTTTAGTCATTAATATTTAGTTACTAATTCCTTTTTGTGTTTTACTTCTTTTTGTTGGTGACAGCGCATGTATTTAGAGATGGGCCGATAGCGATCACCTTTCATCACGGTCAGCTGATAGCTGATACCGATCAGGGGTGGGGCTGGATTATTAAGGCCTATTCACAAAAGGTATGTTTTTTTAGGATTAAAAAAAATGCAATTTTAATGTAGTGGAACCTTCACACAAAACATGCATGAAGGTCTTGGCTGATTAACCACATCCAGGACAAGCAGAAAATTGTGTGTGTGTGTATATATATATATATATATATATATATATACACAGTGATGGTTATAGGAACCAGGCATCTGAAACGATTAATGTCTCTTAAAGCTACCTCCTACACATCTATTACATAAAATTGTTGCAAATACATAGACTGATTCTGGGGACACTGTTTTGATACACACATGGCAGAGATATAAATGATTAGAAAACTCATGTTCGTTCACTGGTCATTTTGGATAAATAGCCAATAAAATGGCTGTAACATCAGAGTTAGCAGGTTTCTTTAGAAAGGAGCATTTCACATCAAACCTCTCTGAATGACTGTTTACATCTCAACGACTGAATTTCTAAATTTCAGCTCTGTTATTCAGTGTTCAGTAGCAGCACAAACAAATGAACATTAGGTTCCTGGCTAATAAATGTGCTGTCGTTATGTCCTAAAGTCTGACTGAACTGTGTGAATAAATGCTCAGCAGCTCATTCTCAGCACTGCATGTCAGTCAGCACCTTTTGGGGACGTCAAACAGGCGGAGGACGGCGCGGCGCTGCTTCAGCTGGCTCTTAGTTTTTCCGTACCGAATAAGATCCTGGAAAACCTGCTCGACGTCACCTGGAAATTTTAATGGCAGTTTATGAACGAAAAACGCTGTTAAAAACCCTAAAGCCAATAACAACCACGCGATATCAACTACCTGAAGAGCGACAGGCATCCTAGCAACACTACGTGGTGCTTTGCTGAAACAGTTCCGTTGGAAAACGAAGACTTGTGAGGTCGGGTTCCGTTGAATGTTATCTTATGTAGTTCATAGCCAGAAATTTTAATTGAATATTTCTACAGGTAGTGCATGGCGGTACTATATTTGATAGAAAAAAGAAGTTCGAAACACCCGACTAAGTTATTCGTATTTACAAAGTGGATTATGTCGAGACGATTATGTCCAGAAGTTACCACTGTGTACACTAGGGGGCAGACAATGCTCGGATGATAGCACCTCTTGGTGACTATACTGCAGAAAACAAAACTAACTAAAAAAAAAAAAAATGCATGAATTCCATACTATTCCAGACTGGTTTAGTCTGGTCTAGTGCTGGTTCAGCTGGTTACTCAGCAGTATACCAGAATACCAGCATCCAAAAGACAACATATGCTGGTTTGGCTGGTGATCAGCTATACTGGTACATGCTGTTTTTTCTCACAGGGTACACTGTGGGTCAGTTTCCCAGTCCCAGATTACGCCTACATGTAGATTTCAAACTATTTCCAAACAGAGACTCTTGATTTGCACTGCAGTTTAGGACTAGGCTTAAATAAAGCCTTCCAGAGAAGTAGAGTCTTACTGTAGCAGAGGGTGACAAACTCCCTAATACCCTTGATTACAAAAGGAAGGTAGGGTGAGCAGGTGTCTACAAACTTTTGGATATGTATTTTGATTTAGATACTCTCCTGCCCAGCTGACTTAACAACTTTACATTTCCTCACAGGCCCTTCTTTCAATATGGTATACTTTGCCCAGAACCACATTCTATATTTAAACCATACTTCAGTGTATATCATTGGTTGCGGAGAACCAGTTTCCGGCACAGCATGGTGATTTTCCTTTTCCCATACTTATCTTAGGATCAGCAAAAAAGAAAGCACAGAAACATTGTACTTTAAAAGAATCACTGCGTTATTTGACACACAGCAAAGGACTGCCATCTCTCAGCAGTACCCAAGTGGCAGGAACGGTGGGCAGGTCACCTCTTGCTATACAACTTCACCCCATGGCAGACCCCAACCCAACACCAACCACCCCACAGCCAAACACAGAATAGCGCAACCAACACTGCTGCAACATTTCTATAGTAAATGTCTCTCCTACTGCGAGTGCGGTGCTTCCCTAGATTCTCTTTGCATGGCTGCTTTGCATGGGCACACCTCCCCTGCTCCGCGGGACACTATACTACTAAGTGCTGAGTCCATCAGGTGTGTTTGGGGAAGGTAATCACAAACCCCGCCCTTCACGACTGCATTTGGCAACCCCTGCTGCATATCATATTGATCTGGCAAAGTGCTGTTGTATAGCCTCTCACCGTACTGCCCGCCGCCGTACTGCCCAGTGAGATTTTTTTCACTTCCAAATAAATCTTTGTGTAGGATACAGTACTTGTAACTTGTTTTGCTTTGAGTGTAGCCCAGGGGGAAGTCTCTCTTCCTTTTCTCTGAATTCCTCTGCTGTGCATGACCTGCGGACATCAAAGAGAGCGCAAAGTGTTTTTTTGGGCTCGTCTTCTGATGGCCCAGACAGGAACCCTGAGACCAAGTGCTGCCGCTCTGAAGCAGATGTGTGTTTCTCAGCACAAAGGAACATGGACTGTCACAGCAGAACTGAATAATGGAATTTCATCATCACCTCCCAAATACACTTCCATTATCTATCTGTGGCTTTGCAGATGTTGTCCTGTGATAACGTGACTAAAGTATGCACTAATGTTAAAGTGACAGTATTTCCTGTGTTATAAAATATGGATAGTTCTTCTATGACTGAGAAGCGTGTTCTTAAATGGGCATTCTGGCCTAAAACTAGATTTTATTAGATTGTGGAATCAGTGAAGAAGATGTGTGCGGGAAACATTGCGCTTTAGAGTGAATGCTCTTTTATTAAACAGGCAGCAATGGAGAACCACCGCTCAGCACTGCTGAAATGGCCAAGATAGCAGGCAGGTCATTTCTAGACATACACTTTCTCATGACAGTAGGCACCAACACTGCATATCATCAAGCAAATAACAATTTATTTACAACAAATGTCTCTCCTACCACAGAGCAGGTACTATTTGGGTGGTGGATCATTCTCAGCACTGCAGTAACACTGACATGGTGGTGGTGTGTTAGTGTGTGTTGCGCTGGTCTGAGTGGATCAGACACAGCAGTGCTGCTGGAGCTTTTAAACATCTCAGTGTCACTGCTGGACAGAGAATAGTCCAACAACCAAAAATATCCAGCCAACATCACCCTGTGGGCAGCATCCTGTGACTGCTGATGAAGGACCAGAGGATGACCAACAGAAACTGTGCAGTAAAAGATGAGCTACTGACTATAATCTAGAAGGTGGACCAACAAGCGTTGGTGTATCTAAGAGAGTGGCCAGTGAGTGGACAGTGGAGTTTAAAAACTCCAGCAGCACTGCTGTGTCTGATCCACTCATACCAGCGCAACACACACTAACACACCACCACCACATCAGTGTTACTGCAGTGCTGAGACTGATCCACCACCCAAATAATACCTGCTCTTTGGTGGTCCTGTGGGAGTGAAAGGGGTCTAACGAATTAAACAGAGAAACAGATTTGTAGAACTACATAGTGCATCTATATGGTAAGTAGAGCTAATAAAATAGGTAATGAGTGTAGAAAAAAGGAAGTGGTTTTAATGTTATGGCTGATCAGTGAATATGCTAATAAATAAAATCAAGTTAGTGTAACACTTCAGTTGTTGATCAAAATTGAAAAAAAAAAAGATTTATTATGATTTAAATGATTTAGCCCAAAATAAATACCAGAAAATACCGTTCAGCCAGAGAAACTGAGATAGCCAGCTAGCTACCTTGCTAACTTTGGCATTGTTGTGTTGAGTCAATAGTCCATTCTCTCCAATGTGATTTCATGATTTGAAGGCAGTTACCAAATCTACAAGATATTTGGCTTTTTAGGACTAATATTACGCCTCTGCCTTGCTTCTGCATCCATGAACTAACAGAAAAAAAATCAAAACAGCTTGGCCTCAAAAATCCATCCCAAAGCAGTTCCTCCCACGTTCAAGATACATCTTCAAAATGGAGTTTTCCTAGTCTTTTACCTGAAACATCTGAGGTATAACCTGTGGCCTGCTGTATGGAATCCAGAACCACTGACCTACAGGGCATATCTCCCCATACAAACCCATACATTCACATTGTAAAGCCTAGTGCTCACAGATTTACTTTTATTGTGCCCACTACAAACTGTTTACTGTAGCTGGGAAGGTGATGTTGCAGGATTTGATGTTCTGAGGTAAGGCAAGGATTAGCAACCACTGTCCGCTGACAAGAGGTCCTCAAATCCAGACCCTGAATCCAGTCTCCAGGTTTTGCTTACATAACATGGCGAAGAATTACCCACCTTGTCAGGACAAGGCTGTTTGACTTGCAAAATGACCAATCACAGCCTGTTGTGGTGCAGCATGTAGGAGGTGGAGATTGTGAAAACCCTAAGGAAGTGCATATGCCTAAAGGTGAGGATAGCAAGTCAGAATGCAACTGACAAAATCCCAATAGCTATGGTCAGCTTTGAGAGTAAAAGAGAGCAGGTGCTCCATTTCCACATGGGCGGAGTATCTGAGGCTGATGGTACATTAACAGTGCAGTTAACTACCACCCACACACACACACACACACACACATCATCTAAACCACTTATCCTTCTGGGTCACGGGGGGAGCTGGAGCCTATCCCAGCTGTCATTGGGCAGTAGTGTTTTATAGTGTTTTAAAAGCACACTAAGTGCCGAAATAAATCATTTTAAATAATTTTCTTAAGTGCCTAAGACAGGGGTGTCCAATCTTATCCATATAGGGCTGGTGAGGCTGCAGGTATTCATTCCAAATAGGCTGGAGCACATCTGATTTCACCTGTTAAATAGATTTCAGTCTTGAAACAACTGATCATGTGTGTGTTACTGGTTCATTGGAATGAAAACCTGCAGGCACACCAGCCCTCTGCAGATAAGACACTCCTGGTCTAAGAGTTTTGCGTAGTACTGTTAACTACACAAAAGCCCTTTTTTTTTGTTTATTTTCTAAGTGTAAATGAATTAACACATCCACTACACAGAACAAATATGGCACTCTGCAAATTATGGTGCACACTTTTTATTTATTTTCTCGGTTTAACATATCGGAAGCAATGAAGCATAAAATGTAAGGAGTGCCATAACTTCTGCGCAGGCCACATTTTGTTTTTTTATGTTAAATTCCACAAATAAACTGTAACTGTGCTGAGCAAATGTGAAGAAATGTGTTCTCTGTAGAGGATGCGTTCATGTATTTTCACTTAGAAAATCAACAAAACATGTAATTTGACTATGAACACCCAAACTTTTGCATACGACTGTGTCTGTGAACTGAACCGCTGAATGCTGGAAAGGACCTGACGTTCATTGTCACCAAAAACAAATTAATGCGGACATGAACAACATTATTTTACTGTTCTACACATTTAATCATAAACTGTCCATTTATTTGTATTAAAAAAAACATCATAGCAGAAAAGGAACGAAGGCTTTGCGCTGACGTGGATATGCCTTAAATGTGCTTTGGTAGTACTCGTGGCATAGCTGGGCAGCCAGAACTTGATTGCAGAAAATATAGAGCACCACTAGCCACCAAGTGACAGAGCAGCAGCCACAGCACACACCCAGCGCAGTGTAGATCAGCAGTTCAGCCAGGTAGTGAGGACAGGACACTAGCTCAAACCAGCCCCCATGTGGGATCCTGTGGGCCAAAGTCTCCACTTTACCTGCACACAGAAATAGAGAGAGACTGCCTATAACCTCCTTTGAGGATAAATATCAATGCCCTACACATTCAGCTTAAAACAGTAATGGATGCTAAACCAAAAGTGTTCTTTTATTTCAGTTTACTTGAAGGGATCCTTATGGCACAGATCTCATCCTGCTTTATTAATAAGGCCGTATTTGTTACGCGAGC